CCCACGCCGGAGTCTCGGGAGGACTTCGGACCCAGCTCGGGCGGGGGGGGAGGAGGCGCAGCAATTCGCCAGCTTGATGGCCTTCTCCTGGCCCCCCCCCACGCTTCACGCACAGCAGTGGAACGCGATTGGCCGCATCAGGACCGGCTGGGTCTCTGGATGGATGGGCGAGCCTCGAGCCAGCAGCCGCGCCGAGCTGATGCCCGAGGCTCCGCTCCGTCGGAGGCCTCAGGAGGGCGGGGGTCCCAAGACACCCGTTCAGGGACAGGTTGCTCTGGGATGCCGCCACCTCTAGACAGTGACTGCGTGGCCAGCCGGGCGCCCCCGAACCCCAGTGGTGCCGACCCTCCCGCCTCAGTTTCCGACGCATGCGAAAGAGAACGGGCCTGCGCCACCGAGTTTGCTCGGACTCGAAGTAGCATGAAAGTACGGTTGCAGCAATCTTCATGAAACCCTGGACGCGTTCGCGCGCCAGCTCCAGCTGGCCAACAAACTGGGATCGGGTGACGGGTGCACTTTTGCCACTAATTTGGCGTGATGGTCGGCGACAGCGTTGGCTCTTGCCCAGTTGGTCGGTCTTCCTCAGGACTAGGGCTGGCCATTTCGTCCTTCGACCTGTGGTCCTTGACGTGGCACGTAGACATGAACTGGTGACTCTCGAGACTGTTGCCGAACTCAAGCAGCTGCATCCACAGCGGCTGCTGGGAACGACGAATCGCCGACATGCAGTCGACTCCAGCCAGGGTCACGGTCGGCGAATTGGCCAACCCAGCACAGGGCAACACTTTCGCAGTGCTAGGAGTTTGCGGAAGGTGTCCCGCCACAGTTGGAAGCGTGGACATGGGCACCAACACCAAAACACATTGGGTTGCCTCCACAAGGGGGAGATGATCCTAGATTTCAGTGTTGGTGGTAACATGTCGGTCACCCTGAAACCAGAAGATTACCACCATCCCCGAGATCGGGATCTCCTTCCCACAGAGGAGGCACCCCGCCGACATTGGTGTTGGTGTCAACCTCCGGGCCGGCCGCACAGGTCCCCTCCTCCACGCGACTGGCAGACCTGAGAGCGGGGATCAGCGGCGATGGCCCAGGGGAAACTCGGCACCGACTCGGTGAGCCCTGGGGCACGCTCACGAGCCGTCGGGGGCCACGTCCGCACGCGGACCCTCTGCGGGGCTGGCAATCGAATCCGCCCCCCACCTCCACATCCCCCCCCCAAGAGCTCCTAAGCACGGCCTGCTTACCACGAGACGGGGGATCACCACCCACCAAGCCACCCCAACCCAACCCGAAGGCCTCATCCTGCTTCTTATTTCTGTGTGGGGGGGCGGGGGGTTGTGGGGCGGGGAGCATGGAGAAATCACATATGGAACCCGTATCCCCCCCAACCCCAAATTCGGGTCTTCGGGTTGGGTTGGGGTGCTCTGGCAACCTCCAGATCTCCCCCAGGAGCCCCAAGCACGGCCTTATTATCACGAGACGGGGGAGGAATGCCGCTCTCCTTGTACAGGGGATGCAGTACATCTCCCTGGGTGAAGACGGGGTTGCCAGACTCGATACCAGCCAGAAGGAACTCGGCACTGACGCCCGACTCGACTCGAGCCTGAACATCTTTACCCGGCAACATGCACTGGAAAAGACGGCGGCCGACCGTGTCCCGCTGACCACAGCCACTTAAATCTCTGCACTGGTACCCTGCAGCTTAGGCACGGGACCTGGTCGGGAGATGCACTGAATCCTGGCGGAGCTCGCAGCTGTAATGCGACATTAATCTCGAGCTGACGCTGGATACCAGCGATCGGCATCGTGCTACGCACGCTGGGCGGTGTTCGGGGAGGATGGGGAGGATGATGCCGCTGATGATGAGGATGATGCTGATGATGATGGTGATGCTGATGATGATGCTGCTGCTGATGATGATCATGCTGATGCTGATGATGACGATGCTGATGCTGATGATGATGACGATGATGCTGCTGCTGATGATGATGCTGCTGCTGCTGATGAAGATTATGCTGATGATGATGATGATGAGGAGGAGGAGGAGGAGTAGGAGGAAGAGGAGGAGGAGGATGCTATGTAGTCATTTTGACTCAAGTCCGTAGCGGGAGGCTCAGAGTATGTGAGTTCTTGGCAGGGGGGATTTGGCGGCCTTTGCAGTGCATTGGCGTCTGCCTGCCAGCTATTCGTTCACAATAGCGATCCGTGTGCAGGAGTTACCTTCTTCCTTGTCTGCAGCCCTTCGTCGATTGTACCCCAGGCCCGTCTTCCTGCCATGCGCCCTGGGTCCGTTCCGAGGATGCAGACAGCGGAGGTGGCTGGCAGACGTGCGGCGATAGGGGTAAACGGCAAGAAGTTCAAGCAACCGCGGGGGTTCGTGTGTTCTGCCTGCGGGTGCCAGAAAGGCGGTCCAGAGGATGGTTGGTGCCCGCATTGCTCCTCGCCTCTCGCTCGTCTTGCTGTTGCCAGCACTCCCGTGGCTCGAGGCTCCTGGTCGCCTTCCTCTGTGTCCCCTGGTTCCTTCTCTCAAAGGCAGGGTGGGCGAAGACTGGTCGTCAGGCGGGGGCTCCGGGAAGGGCGGCTACGGCCATGGCGGGGGCGGTCAGTTGCAAGGAGGCAGGTTTGACCCAGTTTCTGGACGACAGCTTCTCACGCTCTAGCCCGCGCCTGCAGGCGCAGGCGGCGAAGGCACGTTGGCCCCGATGCCGTCAGGGCCTGTGCCCAACATCACGATCGAGGAGGCGAGCAAACTGCCCATGCTGTCCGAGAAAGCAGGTGACAAATCAGGTGCTGCATGGTGTTCGGGAGTTGTTAAGTCCTTGGCGTCGGCAGGCGCTACAGCGACACAGGCCCTCTGCGCATCAATGCAGGGCAGCAGCAGCATGGTCAAGTTCGTCAGTTGGGGGGGCAGTTGGAGATTGAGTTGGCCAGGCTCTTCACGTTGCAGTCCGAGGCTCAAGATCAGGCCGCCGAAATCAAGCAGCTGCGCGAGTCTTCGGCGGAGGCTGATCGCGAGAACAGCGAGGCTGCTCAGAAATTGGCTGGAGAGTGGAATATCGGTGCGTCGTCTACTCCGTCCCCTACTCATCGCGGGATCCGTTGACATCGCGGCGCTCATCAGCTGCGACGTCCTGCAGGATATCGGGCAGGCTGAGGAGCTCGAGCTGTCGCCAGAGGATCGGGGGGATATGCAGAAACAGGCCTAACACTCTGTCTCAAGGCATCGCAGATATGGCGAAGCAGTTGTTCAGTAATGCCATCGACCAGGCCAGGCAGGGCAGCTGAGGCAGGTCATGCCGCACTGGAGCCGTCCCGTGCGAAAAGCCTCCTCGGCAATGGCCTCGCAATGGTCCTCCTCCAGATGCTGGTGCAGAGAGGGAAGCTCGTGCAATCGCTGAGCTAGAAGTGGAAGGTCATACACTGGCAGGCCAGCATGTTGCAAGAGAGAATCGAGGACCTGCGGCGGGACGTCCGTGACTAGGACCAGCTCGCGAACGGCCATGTAAAAAACATGCATTATATCGACGAACACGGCAGCTAAGCGTAGGCCTGATCTGAGCGAGAACGTCTGCAGAGCCTGGGCAGCTAACAGGGCCAGCTGAGTGCCGCGTCCAGGTGTGCCCGCGTGCTGGTGATCCCCAACAACAGTCTGCATGCCCAGGATCAGCATCGTCCGAGGGCATGATCTGTACTTGTTACCGATGTGCGATGCGACTCGGATACACCGCGATGCACTCGGCGAGCAGATGTAACCACGACATGTAGGTATACGAGGAAGATCTCCAGCTTTCCCTTGTAGGGTTCATCATGAGTAGCGAAGTTATAGCAACAAAAAGGGTTAATCGGCAAAAGCCTAAGAACTGGCGCACGCGTGCACAAACTTGCTTCTTGACATGCAGGCCATCAGCAACGCCTTCGCTACCCCTTGTTCATCTTCAACTCCATGTGAACATTTTGCAAGGTAGGCATATGGCGCACATGCCTCGAGGCAGCTGAGGCAGGGCGGCGCCGATCTTGAAACATATGAATGCACGTGCCAAGACAGCTTGACAGCCGTCTCCTGCTTAGCGAAGTGCTCCAGCCATAGCTCAATCGCCTCGGCAGCGGTAGAAATCCGAAGCCCGCCTGGACCTCAGACCGCAGGTCGTACTTTAGCTTGGCGCGTTTTTTTGTGCCAGCGGCTCCCAGGCGCCCCAAAGCGGCAAACGCGTCCCCGAACTCCTTTGCAGACCAGAGATCCCCGATGGATTGAGCTATGGCGTTGGGGGCGCCGTCGATATCCGTGCCCGACCTAGCGTGGGCAGCTTCATCGAGCCGCTGTAACAGCAGAAACTGGAATGCCTGTGCTCTTAGGCGTAATGACCGACGCAGGAACGCCAACCGCGACCAATTACGCGGGTTCTCGAGATGGGAAGCCACGCGCGGAAATTACCCAAAGAAGGCCAACAATTTAATTCCAACCCGTGCAAAACGAAATCGTCGATCATGTTGACAGTCACCAGCCGACAAGTTACAGACGGATTCCGAAGCCATCTGAGCAATTTTACCAGCCCAGGTACGCCGGGCGCAATGTCGCCTAGGAAGTTGCCCATCCAGAGGGTTACTCTGACCGTCCCAAGCCAACGTCTGCCACGCTCTGAACACCACGCCTTGCCATAACTGAGCAACAAATCCACGGATCTGCCGCAGAGCCCGGCAGTGCACGCGTGCAGCTTGCAAGAGCAACCGCGTGGGCGGAGCCGTCTTCTCAACCTGCGAAGCCGCGCAGAGCCCCCCCGCGCCCTCGCGAACGTGAGCGGGGGCGGCCGAGCAGCGCTGAGCAGGCGGCGCCTGCCGCGCTGGAGTAGGGCACCGCATCGTGTGCTTAAGTCGGACGCGTCCCTCTACAGGGGGAATGTTCAAACGTAGTTTTTAAACGTAGCCAGGGGCAGGGGGCGATTTTTCTATCACTTTGATAGTTTTGGGACATTGTTGGGGCACTTTTTGAAATTATTCGCCCAGAATCCGCGTGTGTGGGGGGGCGTGCCCGACCTGATCATATGCTCCTGAAATTTGCCAATCCGATCAGGACTTTTGAGCAACCTGGCGTCCAGGACGGGCAAGCGAGCGTAGAAAGGCACTGATTGCTCGAACACTGGGCACGGGAATGCCCGCGCAAACCTGCGCTAGCAAGTGGCCAGGTTTGGATAGCGACGGCTCGACCTCCTGATGGGCTCTGGTGCCGGGCGAGTGTGCCAGACAAGATTTTGGTACAGCAGCATGGTCAATGCGCCTGGTTGAAGACATGGCCCTCGGGGGGGGCCCAGGTCTCACGTTCCGCGGCCGGCCCCCGGGGATGTAGCAGGGCGCGCGACTGAATATCCCGAAGTAGCCGATGAAAACAGGATCCGCAATGCGTCTTCGTCTCAGCGCCAATGCTGCCTACCGAGCTGGACGCAGTTGACCAGTGGCGGCGTTGGCATCGACCATTCTGCAGAAACTCGCCGCAATGATGACGTGGCGCGCTTCCACCATCGCCGTGCGAAATCACGATCATGCCCTGAGTGCGGCGCACGCACAACACAGAAGGTGACGCTAAGCGATGCGACAGCCATGCTGATTATAAGCATGGTGAGGGGAGCTTCGGCCACAGTCATACATTGCCGAGACGCAATTGAATCAGGGCGTCCAGGGATGGGTTGGTAATCGCGCCGGACCCACAGTGAGCGTCCAAACGCCCCTGACTCATGCCTAGGCCCGTGCAGCGCAAGGTAGGGACCAATTGTGGCCCAGCCTGGGGTAGGCGTTCTAGACCCAACAGTGCCCGCAAGAGAGAGCCCATGACAGCGAAACTGTTCAGCCAGTTGCCGAGGGCGCCCTAAACACACAAGCTCTTACCATCCTCATGCCCTTGGACGTGTGCTGTAGTAAACTTATTCCATCTCAATGTCTGGGGCAGCCTGGAAGAGGCCCGAACCAGCACCAATAGGGGTAGAGATAGGTGGGCACGATGAGGCTCCCAGGGGTCCCGTGCGACTACAGCGTTCTCGTCGGCGCTGCGGCACTGGGGCCGTAAGTCAGCTGGGAGCAATTCAAGGCGGGCCCATTTGGCAGACACCCCTTCGTCAAAAAACTGCCTCCGCGGACATGCAGCAGGTGAGTCGACAAGTTTGAGTCCTGCCAGGGCCGCTAGGGTATCCCCATGGATACTCATGTTCAAGGTGCCGGTCGTGTGCATGATCATGATGTAAAGTCAATGTTTACGCGCACGTGCCGCCGTGACACATGGATCGCAAGCAGTCAGATAACCTTCCCAATGCTGGTATATCCCATGCACCGTGAGCCGCAATCATCACAATTGCATTGCCCCCCCAAAAAGGCAACTGGCAAATTCGAGAAGGGCACCTGCAACGACCAAGGCATTGCTCATAGAAGAGCTATGGCCTTTGACGCCAGGTTCAGTTGAGACAAATCCACAGCAAACTCATCCCTCTCGAACGCCGCTGCTAGATCATTCCAATAGTGTGTGTGTGGCACCATCATGCGAAACGACGAAACCACAAGAGGCCCAGGCCGGAGAAACGCTGGATGCGCGTCCACTACCATCGGTATGTATCTCGATATCCTGAACGTCCTGCATGTTCACATCGCAGGAAGACACACATTCGAAACATCCAAAGTACAATCAAGTACAATCTCTGGCGCAACCGCGCAATCATGATGCTAATGCATTGTCCATTGCTGATCGGAGTGGAAGGTGCAGCTACCCCCCCTCCAACTCGATCCTGCGAGCTCTTGCCTCCAGATCGAGATCTGCGTCGTCGTCGCTGTCGCCGCCAGCACGCGCTCTCTCTGCAAGCCCTCGACCAGGACTGTAGCTTGAAGTCGGGTCTGTCCCTCTACAAGAGGAGTGTTCAAAAATAGTGAAAAATAGTCTGGGGGCGATGTCTTGACAGTTTTTGCATATTTTTGAGTATTCTTTCGAATGTTTTCCTTTTTCGTGTAAGATCCGTTTGTAAGAGGACATGCCCGACCGAACTGTAGCTGCGCTCGGCTCGGCGATCGTCCCGAGGCCGATCGGCCGACGCTGCGCGGCGCGCCGGGGCCGCCGCGGAGCCCAGATGCGGCCGTGCTGCCCGCTGGCGCGCCACAGGAACAAGGAGCAGCGGCATGCAGAGCAGGACGTGGCGGAAGTATCGGGGGTGGAAAAGAGGGGGGTGATGACTAGGGGGGGTGGACATCATGGCGGGGGCCATGCTGTTTCCCCAGATCTCATGGCGCCCCTGCTTATTTCATGACGTCCCTGGCCCCCCCGCTGGGCCGCGTACGTGCCGCCGGTCATGATTTGCACCCCGCCCCCCCTTGGACCCCCCCCTCTTGGCCGCTCCCGAAAGCAGCGCAGCACGAGCGTGTTTCTCCTCTGCTTTGGGCGCAATGGGCATTGTAGCCCCCTCCCCCCCTCTCCCCCCTCTGTGACGTAACGCCCCTCCCCTCCCAGTGCGCTCCGGGCACTGCCGCCGGGCGCGCGGCGGGGGGAGGCGTTACATCATACCCCCCTCTGGCCCCTCCCCCCCCACCGCCCTATGATGCCCATTATCGCCGAAGATAAAGAAACGCGCTCGTGTGGCGGAAGTAGCGCAGCACCCCGAACACCTGCAGGAGTAGCGAGCTGCCGAGGAACAGGAGGTATCCGAATATTGCCAGGGCCATTCCTCGATGCAGCGACCAAACTCTCGTACTTCTCGCTGACGGCAGCTGCCTGCCTGCCATGAGAAGCGATGGTGGCGGAAAGCACCTCTGGTAGCCCATTGGACAGCAACAAGGTCTGGAAGCTGCTGTGGTTGCAGCGGCGGCGCGCCAACATCGGGGGACCGTAAGACCCGGGTTTGCCGGGACTCGGGTTCGCCATCGTTTTTTGACGACCGCGACTCGGATTTTGACGAGGAGGAGTTCCGTGGGATGTCTGCAGCGGGAGGCCTCGTCAAAATGCAGGCTCGGCCTCGTCATTTTTTTGACAACCTCGTCGGGGATTTCCGAGTCCCCCGTACCCGGGTCTTACGTCTCCCCGACAACAGGGGGCCCCGGGACCAACTGAAGCCCCGTCATCTGCGGCCCAGGCCGTAGAGGAGGAGGAGGATCCAGAGGCGGCGCCTCGGTCTCGTCGGCATCGGCGGGCGCAGCATCCACAGGCAGGGAAGGTGCACTCGCCACGATCTCGTCGTGGGCGATCTAGTGGCGCTCGACCCATTCGTCGGAGTGCGCGCTTTGCTCCTCGAGCTTGGACAACTTGATCTTGGTAGTCTCGATCTTCGAGGCCAAAGCATCTTGTCGAGCAAGGGCACGCTTGAGTGCAGCCTCTTGCCGAGACAGCTGCTGGTCGTGCGGTCGGCACAGATGGATCACTGTCAAAGCAGCTGCATACCATGATCTCTCCTCGTGGGCCATCTCTCCCGCCCGTTCGTGCAGGTGGATGGTCCCAGCAAGGACACGAAGCTGGCCACGGCACTCCTTCTTTTCTGCCGCGGTCGCATCCTGATCCAATTCTCCAGGGACGCGAACAAGAACACGAGCATCCGGAGGAAGCGCGGGGACAGTCGCCAGGCCCTCGAAGCGCGAGCTGTGAGTGCCCGCGGCCTCTGAGCGCTCGGCCTCGTCTGCAGAGGTGACCGAAGGAGACCTCCCGCGAGCTCGGGCAGGTGGCCTCGACGGGCGGCGGGGCGAAGCCGAGCCAGAAGCCTTAGGTCGGGCCTGTCCCTCGACAGGGGGAATATTCAAGCATCGTCCAAAAATAGCCTGGGGCCTGTTTTTGCAGCAATTTTTGTCAATTTTGGAGTATTTTTGAGTGTCTTGCATTTTTCGTCGAACATCCCCCTGTAGGGGGACACGCCCGACTCAACAGAAGCCGCGCCAGCCTGTGAAGACTCCGCCGCCGCCTGACCGTCGCCAGGCGAGGCGGCGGCCAGTGGGCGCGCTGGCACGGGCGCAGGGCCGAGCTGCCCGACCCCGACCCCTGCTGCGCGGGCCCTTGGCTCCCTGGCCACCCCTGCCACGTCCCAGCGGCCCAGGTGGCTGGGGGCTGAGTGCGAAGATGCGGAGAGACGCAAACCTCCTGTCGGGGCGCAGAACAGGTTCGGCACGTCGCTCGTTCCACACCGTGGAGGTAGAACACCACGCACAGAACCGGGACGTGGCCATGCTGGCAGACTGATGCTGAGAAAGTAGTTGGCCTGCTCTAATCACTTCGGGCGTCGATGGTCGCGCGCGAGGACCCGCGCGGGTGGCGCGGGTGGCGCGCCGACGCCTGCGCCAAGCCAGGTTCGCACGTGGCTGCTTCATGCCTCCCAACCGCGGCCAGCCGAGTGCTCCGGCCAGCGCGCTGGCTCCAAACGGCAGGTGCAGCATGCGGAAAAAGGTACGTAGCACGAGCGCCGACGAGGGCTCGCGCCCCTCCGCTTCGTCGCCACGCAGGCGGGCCCAGCTGGGAATCGGAGAGGCGCCGCGGCAACTGCTGCCGGAGCCTAGGAGGAGGAGGAGGAGGAGGAGGAGGAGGAGCAGGAGGAGGAGGTGGAGGAGGAGAAGGAGGAGGAGGAGGAGGAGGAGGACCAGATTAGACCAGGGCTGCGTCAGCGATGTTGCAACCGCCTCAGGTTCCCTCCTCGCGCGTGCCTGCGAGTCCTCCTCTTTACTACAGGGAGCACCCCCCTCAAAGACCAGCACAGTTGGGCCTGCCACTGTGGCGAGGGTTCCGTTCTGAAGAGGAATTGCCGTGCATCTTACTGGCGCGTAGTCACGGGCGCGGAGAAGTGTGGCCATGCATGTCAGCGAGTTGTGCAGCGATCTTCCCCTTACGAATATGGATCCCGCGATCCATGTAACCGCTGCGCAGGTGTACACTTCTGGTTTCTCAGGACGTCTCAAACAACAGCTCCATTTTGAAAAAGATCCCCCCTGCATAACATTATCGAAGTCTCCAGTGAGAACTCTTGAAACATATTCGAGTGGCCTTTGGCCCACCTCGCCAGCGTGCCTGGGTTGAGGGTCATATGCCTCTCGGATGTTCGTTGTGATGTCGCGGGAGGCCTCTCGGGGGGCCTCATGAAAGCAGTCTTGAGGCCTTTTGGGTGCCGTTTTCGGGCCTCTTGGGGCGTCTTGGGGGCTTCTTGGGGGCCTCTTAGAAGCCTTTTGGAGGCCTCTTGGGGATTCCTTGGGGCCTCTGGTGCGCCTCTCGGGGGCCTCTCCGGGGCCTCTTGGATCGTTCCTGAGGCCTTTTGGGGCGGACAGCTAGAGTTGTCGGTTCGTTCTCCCCCTCTTCGGACCCTATTGGGGCCGTCTTGGGGCTCTCTTGGGCCGCCTTGGGCGCCTCTTGGGCCGTCTTGGGGTCCTCTTGGGCCGTCTTGGTGCCCTCTTTGGGGCCTCTGGGACGTTCTGCAGCGTCGGAAGCTCGAGAGGTGGAGAACCAAACAACGTGCACAAAACCATCATACTATGTATGATTTTGGCATCTCGGGGCTCTCTTGGGGATGCTCTTGGAGTCTTTGGCGCTTCTTCGGCCAACTGGAGGCCATCTGGGGCCTCTTCGACCGATCGTTCAGCGACTCGGGGCGCTCTTGGGCAATCTTGGGGGCCTCTTGGGGCACTCTTGCTCCCGTCTTGGGACCCCTGTGGGCCCGAATAAGTCCCACGACAAGACGCGACGGGCCCCAGGAGGCACGCCCAGAGCCCCCAAACAGGTCTGACGCTTTGGGGTTAGGGCCCCTGAGCTACTTTTCGTCATTGATGACTGAGGCTTCAGGGATCAGGCACAGGACCTGAGGACACTCCAACTCGTGCCTCAGGGCACGGCAGTGGAGACCCATGCCAAGAAACACCTTGCTCGCCTCCAGGGTGCCTGGATTTCTTGGGTTTCGATGGTTTTTCTATGGAAAGCGTGGCCACACCACAAATCAATCAATGGACGTCCTGGGGTCTCAGGGTTGGGTTTCTAGTGGAAGGTTTCTTGTGGACTGGCCTCCACTGAAAGTTGCGTGAAGAAGCGAAGGCGCGCGGCGCTCGGGCGAGAAGCCCACTTTTTGGAAACGGTCAGGGACCAATCTTCGAATCCGTTGCAATCTTTTTGGACGAATGTTTGCGGCGCCTTGGCGAGAGCGCTTTAAAAAGGATCCGCCCTCCGTTGCCAACAAATTGCCGAGGCTCCTGCAAAAGTTTACACCGAATGTGCGCGGCGCTAGAGCGAGAGCACCATCTTGAAAACGACCTGTGCTCCGCTCCTGAAGCTGTTGCAAACGTTTCAGACGATTGTGCGCGGCGCTGAGGCGAGAGCTACATTTTGAAAACTGCCGCCCTTCATCGTCGAAACTGTTGCAAACTTGTAAGACTAATGTTCGTGCGCTACGGCGAGAGCCACATTTTGAAAAAGGCTCCCCTCGATCCCTGAATCTGTTGTAGATATTGAAAACGATTATGCGAGGCGCTAACGCGAGAGCCACATTTTGAAAGTGAGCGCCCTCCAATGTTGAAGCTGCTGCATTTTGCAACTCGTGTGCGCGGCGCCTAGGCGAGAGCTACATTGGAGCCAGTTTTTTTGATTCTGGGGCGATGACTGCCGTCACCGGGGGAATGTACACTACACCAGCCGCGTCCAACCCAGCGCCTGTGTGCACCACACTGTTTGCGTGCATTACAGCGCCTGTATACACCACAGTGCCTGCGTACACCCACCGCAGCAGCCGTGTGCAACACAGCGTCAGCACCACAATGCCTACGTGTGCACCACAGCGCCTGTGTACACCAGGGCGCCTGTGTGCACCACAGCAGCCGTGTGCAACAGAACACCAGCCTCTGGCATCTACGGGACCTCCCGAGCAGGAGGAGGAGGAGGAGGAGAAACGGAGGGGGAGGAGGAGGAGGAGGAGGAGGAGGAATTTGAGGGGGAGGAGGAGAAGGAGGAGGAGGAGGAGGAGGAAAAGGAGGAGGAGGAAAAGGAGGAGGAGGAGCAGGAGGAGATGGAGGGGGAGGAATAATGAGAAGAAGCATACTACGAACAATACTAATGACAACAATCTGCTAATACAAATACTAACACTATTACTACTACTACTAGTAAGAATCAGGGACACTCGCAATACTAATTGTGATATTTGTAACACTACATGCGTTTATGATAAGACGAATGGTAGCTGAGAGTGGTAATACGCAGGGTAATAAGGAGACGATGATTAATCATGATAGCAATACTAATAGCAATCATACTAATATGAATAGAACGAATAATGCTACTAATGCGGATCATACTAACAAGAAGAAGCGGAGGAGGCGGACGAGGAGGAGGATGAGTTGTGGTGCTGTGTCTTGGGGGTCGGGACGCGCATAAAGACATGGGCGACGTTCTCCTGAAGGAGTTCGCTTGAGGCGCGGGGCATTGTTGAGGCAGTGCGGTGGGAGGCGCTTCGGCATAGGGGCACTGTGGCATGGCACCCAAAAACTGTGGTGCACACTGAGATGCGCACGTGGGCGGTAGCGCCGACCCGCGCGACTGGGAAAAAGGTGACTGAGCAGGAGGAGGAGGAAGGAGAGGGAAAACACATCGCAGTCTATTATCACGCTTACCCTTGCGTGGTGTTTAGCTGTCCGCAGCAAATCTTCCCTGACATGCTCTGTCTACCTCTCCTGTAAACGCAGGCACTGGTGTGCGCTGGCGCTATGTTGCACGCGGGTGCTGTGGTGTACGCAGGCGCTGTGGTATACGCAGGCGCTGCGCCGCACGCGGGCACTGTGGTGTGCAGTGGCACTGTGCTGTGCACGGGTGCTACGGTGTACACGTTCGCCGCGTTGTACCCAGGCGGTGCGGTGCACGCGAGCGCTGTGGTGTACACGGCGCTGCGTTGCGCGCAAATTTTGCTATGTGCACAGGCGTTGTGGTGTGCACGCGTCGTGACGTGCACGCGAGCACTGCGGTGTACACAAGTGCTGTGGTGCAGATTGCCGCAAACATGCTGCTCATATTTGGCGTCGGTCATCCCTAGGCATTCCCAGGTGCCGCGGGCGCGGAATGTGACGTCACCTGGGGGGGCGGTCTGGCTTTGTGACGGCCGCTACTGCGGAACACGCAAAAATACGCTCTTGGCGGGGCGGTTTGTGATTCCCTTTGAACGTTTTTTTTTGTTGTGTGTTTCGGCGCATGTGCTTGGCTGTTAACCGAGAGCCGCATTTTACGAACAAGCCTCCTGTGCTGGAAGCTGCTGCAGGTGCTTCAATCGAATTGGCGCTACGCTCGGTGGCACTGCATTTTGAAAACAGCCCCTCTGCATCGGCGAATTGGCTGTAATTGGTGTGCGGCGTTGGGGCGAAAACCACATTTTGAACACCACCCGCCCTCATCCAAGCAAGCTGTTGCAAGTTCAAGTTTCATGGTAGGGAAGTTTCAGGCGAAACGCTCCAGGCCGTCCTACCGACGCGTCCAGGGGTGCGACAGGGAGGCGTTGCTCATACCGGAGAGGAGTTAGGGAGGAGGAGGATGAGGACCAGATTTTTTTAGTTTATATATATATATATATATATATATGTTGCGCCCACTTAGGTCTAAGTGGTAGGCCTCCGCGCCAAGGCTGGTCATTACACCAGCCTTTCCGTTTTCTTTTCCGCCATGCGAAGGTTGCGATCGCATATCGAAGTTTATTTAGCACCACCAAAGAACAGGATCAGCGTGAGCCCAGGACGCAGCGACGATGCTGCAACACAGTCTCGCTTCCCAGGGGCCCGATTTGCCTTCGATTGCGAAGGCCTTACGGCCTTGCCGCCGACACTGAGAGCGACGAAGATGAAAACGAGGGGGGGCGGGGCAGGGTGGAGGAGGTGGATGAGAAAGGAAGAGGGGGGAGAAGGATGTGGAGGAGAAACAAGAGGAGGAGAAGGAGACAAAGGAGAGCAGGAGGAGGGGGAGCAGAGGGGGAGGGGAGGAGGAGGAGCAGCAGGAGGAGGAAGAGGAGGCTAGAGGCTTTCTTGGGACAGCCCGTGGCTCTCCTGAGGCCGTCGTGGGCCTTCCAGGGCTCCTCTTGCGCCGTCTCGAGGCACTCTTGGAGGCCTCCTGGGCAATTTGGGGCTCTCCTCGGCTGTCTTAGGACAGGTTGGGGCAGCCTCTTGGGGCCTCTTGGGGCTTCTTCGGGGCCTCTTAGGGGCCTCGTGGGGCTGAGAGCTCGAACTGTCCGTTCGGGCCCCCCGTCTGGGCACTCTCCTGGAGCCGTCTTGGGGGCCTCTTGCGCCGTCTTGGAGGCGTCTTGGGCCGTCTTGGGGCCCGTCGGGAAGCGGAAGAGGCAAGAACGCCACGATCTTTCAAAAACGTATGGGAAATCCATGAATTTTGCCTCTTGGGGCTCTCGTGGGAAAGCTCCTGGAGGCCTCTGAGGGGCGCTTTGCAGGCCTCTTGGGCCGTCTGGAGGCCGTCAAGGCGTCTTTGACAGATCGTTCGGCGATTCGGGGTTCTCTTGGACTGTCTTTGGGGCCTCTTGGGGCACTCTTGGCCCGTCTTGGGGCTCTTTTGGGCTCCGGGACTCCCAGTGGGGGCGTCGTATCTGACCCCCCCCCCGTGGCGTCCGACCCCCCCCCCCCGGGAGCCCCTCTCCCCGGCGGGGGAGGGATCGAAGGGAAGGGGCTTCCTTTTGACTCAATTACGACGTTACTTATTTTCGCTTTGCCTGGCGCGCTGAGGAGGTCCCTGGGGAAGGGGGGAGCTTCGACGAGCCCAGGGAAAGGGGGTGGGCAGGGAAAGGGGACGACAGAGACGACGACCAACGAATGACGGAGATGACGACTTGAACGGACAAGCCACTCACACACGCCGACAGGGTCGGCGGATTTCCGGTGGGGGGGGGTCGGGGAACATTAAAAAACACATGTGAAACCCGTACCCCCCCACCCGAAATTCGGGTCTTCGGGTTGGTTTGGGGTGGTTTGGTAGGTCGTCAGATCACGGGAGCCTCGTGTGCCCGCGTGATTTCTGCCTTTGGGGTGTATTCGCGTTGATTCAGCGTCTGGCAATCGGTGAGACAGCGCTGGTGTAGCGTCGATGTAGCGCCAAGTCAGCGTCCACTCGCGACGATTCGCAAGAGCCGACAAGATATGGTATTGGAGGCGTCCACGAGTTGCCGCAGAAGCAGGTGCAGAGCCTGTCCCGCGGGAGCCCCCCATTTTTTGAACGCGAGCTGCTCTGCAGTGGAGGCCTGTGCCAAGAAACACCCTGCTCGCCTCCAGGGTGCCCTGGGTTTCTTGGATTTCGATGGTTTTGCTGTGGAAAGCGTGACGGTCCCACACCAGATATCAATGGACATCCTGGGGTCTCAGGGTTGGGTTTCTAGTGGAAGGTTTCTTGTGGACTGGCTTCCACTGTACACCCATGCCGCTGTTGCACAATTTCACTTTTTTGGTCGTTCGCATTGAGGACGTCTCGATCGGGAGCTCCATTTCGAAAAAGGGCCGCCCCTCCATGTGTGAAGTCGCTCTGCAGTGGGAAACTCCCAGGCATAAAATCTGACGACGTCTCATGCCAAAAGGACAGGGTTGAAGCATGAGTCGCCCTTCACTGTTGTAGGTCGTTGACGGTTTCAAGACGAGTGTGCTCGGCGCCAAGGCGATAACCACACAGTGAATATCAACCGCCTTCCGTCCGCGTAGCCACCGTAAACGTTTCAGGCAACTCTGCGCGACGCTAAGGTGAGAATCGCTATCTGAAAGCCAGTCACCTTCCTGCTTGCAGCTGTCGGAGTACATAGCCTGTTCTCCTCAGGGCTTGACGACTGTTCTCCGATCGACTTGCCAGGATCAAGCCAGATACATCAAGGTATATCCGTACATGTCGAGATAAACCCAGGCAGATCAAGGTAACTCCAGATATCCCCAGGGAAACCTTGAGCAAAGCGTGGACGCTTCAGCAAGTCTCAAGAAGAGAGAACATGGTGAAACAGGAGTCGCCCTCCACCGTGATAGCTGGTGGAAGGTTTCAGGTCGAGTGTGCGCAGCGCCAAGGCGACGTCCCCACTTTTTACTTTGAATTTCAGCCGCTCTGCATCTGCGTACAATGGAAACCCATACCAAGAAACACCCTGCTTGCCTCCAGGGTGCCCTGGGTTTCTGGGGTTTCGATGGTTTTGCTATGGAATACTTGACGTTCCCATGCATCCTGGGGTCTCAGGGTTGGGTTTCTTGTGGAAGGTTTCTTATGGTCGAACTCCTACTGTAGCAGTCGTGAACAGTTCAGACGAATGTGCTGGCGCTAGGGTGATAATCACACTTTGAAAACCAGCCGCCTCCATGCTTGCAGCTGTCGGAATCCATCGCCATTGGCTAAAGGCTGTTTTGTATCAAGATTGTGCTGTCGATCGCAACTCTTGCTCTGCATCTTGCCACTGCTGGAGGCGCCTTCAGTGCGCAGCCGAGTGCGTCACCATGCCGGAGGTCATGTCAATCGTGAAAACTCCCAAGGAGGCGTTCCAGGGCATGGTGGACAAGGGCGTTGGGATGGGCGGCGACTCGTCCATCAAGATCTTCCACCAATCCTTCTATGCTGGTTGCTACATTGGCTTCGGTGGCATGCTGTCGATGGTGGTGGCTGGCGGTCTGAAAAGCGCAGCCGAGGACAATCCGACCATTCAGACCTTTGTGTTCGCTGCGCTCTTCCCTGTGAACCTGCTGCTCATCCTCCTCACAGGTGGGGTGCTGATCACGGGCACTGCGGCGACCGTGCCTGCCGCAGTGTTTGAAGGCAAGCTGCCCCCTGTGCAGATCGCGAGGACGTTTGCGCTGGCTTGGCTAGGCAATCTGCTTGGCGCCTTGCTCTTCGCTGGCTTTGTCACGGCCTGTAACTTGAACGTGGGCCTGACTAGTGAGCTTGCGATCAAGGTGGCGGAGAAGAAGATCAAGGAGAACTTTGGGTCACCTTCCTCAAGGGAATCGGCTGCAACTGGCTGGTGTGCATGGCTGTGTTCCTGCAGGGCCAAGCACAGGACATGGTTGGCAAGATGGTGGGCATCTGGTTCCCCATCTCTTGCTTCGTGGCCATCGGCTTCGAGCATATCCCAGCCAACATGTTCATGATCCCCATGGGGATGATGGCCGGCGCCGACGTGTCCGTGCTAGATTGCCTCTGGAGGAATTTCATCCCAGTGACCCTTGGGAACATCTTCGCAGGTTCCATCTTCGTTGGCGGTGGCTACTCTTTCGCCTTCGGCAGGTTAGGCAGCTCGCCGATGTTCAACATGCCCACGAAGGAGCAGGGTCCCTCCAAGGAGCAGCAGGCCACTGGCAACGCGGTCGAGGTTCCACCTGAGGCGCAGGGCCTATGATCGCGTTTAATCATACTGTACAATTGCCGTCTGGCATTGAATTCGTGCGTAGTAATTCTTTGATCAGGATAGCTGAATTATCCCAAGCAGTTGCCCACAGCGTTTTAGCTGTCGGCAGCCGACAGATTTTCGGAGTTGACGTCCTCTCACCGACGCCCAGTGTGTGGCTTAACCAGGCAGTCAGAGGTACTCTCACCGACGGCATCTGCTCCGATCTAATGTAGAAGCCGATTTCTTCATCCCGTGTGCCATCCCACTCCTGCGAGGGTCCGAAGTTACTCTTTCGGAGCGATAGCCATGGGATTGGCGATAGCGGCCCCTATCGTCATCTAATGTTGCATTTCTTCTCCATCAGGTGTCCGAGTTTGACCAGATGTGCTTCGATGGAAGCTGCATCCACGTGGCAGTCGCTGCAGGCGTCGCCAGAGGGTAAGCGCTCTCGCGTGGACTGTTTGTGTCGACCTGCTTGTCTGAAGCACTAAGCTTCGTTGCATGCAAAGCTGTACAACCAGCGCACGCTATGGACAGTCTGAAGCCACAGCTCGCTATGCGGCGCTCATTGCCCTGGATGGTGCTCCTCGGCATGGGAAGACGCTGGGCATGACGAATCCTCACGGTGCCGTTATGGATCGTGTAGCACATATGCGCAGTTGCTGGGAATTTTTGTGGACGAATGGGCGCGGCGCCAAGGCGAGATCCACATTTTGAAAACCAGGCGCATTCCGTCCAATGAACTCTTGGGACATTGAAGCTCCAGGGTCAGTGGCGAGGAAGTCTTAGGGGAAACGCTCTGCCCGCCCTTCGACACGTTTGGTGACGCGACGACGAGGAGGGGTCAATCAGGAGGAGGGGCGGATGATGGGGAGGAAAGGGAGGACGGGTGGAGGAGGGGTGAGGAAGAGGACCGGGAGGATGTGGATGAAGGGGAAAGGGAAAGGGGGGAGGGGCCGAGAGATCCGATGTCCTATTTTTTTCCATGCGGGGTCCCCACAGGCCCAGACACTTTCCCCATGGCAAGTTTTTTGTCCCAGAGCTCGAAGCTGTGGCCTCCAGATGCCAAACACCACGAGGAACTTCCAGGAGAAACCTCTGGCCAGTTCCCCTCAGGGCTTGACGACTGTTCTCCGATCGACTTGCCAGGATCAAGCCAGATACATCAAGGTGTATCCGAAAATGTCGAGGTAAACCCAGGCGGATCAAGGTAACTCCAGATATCCCCAGGGAAACCTTGAGCAAAGCGTGGACGCTTCAGCAAGTCTCAAGAAGAAAGAACATGGTGAAACAGGGGTCGCCCTCCAGCGTGATAGCTGGTGGAAGGTTTCAGGTCGAGTGTGCGCAGCGCCAAGGCGATATCTTCACACTTTACTTTGAACATCAGCCGCTCTGCATCTGCGTAGAGTGGAAACCCATGCAAAGAAACACCCTGCTTGCCTTCAGGGTGCCCTGGGTTTCTGGGGTTTCGATGGTTTTGCTATGGAATGCGTGACGTTTCCATGCATCCTGGGGTCTCAGGGTTGGGTTTCTTGTGGAAGGTTTCTTGTGGCCGAGCTCCTACTGTAGCCGTCGTGAACAGTGCAGACGAACGTGCTGGCGCTAGGGTGATAATCACACTTTGAGAACCAGCCGCCTTCATGCTTGCAGCTGTCGGAATCCGTTTTGTATCAAGATTGTGCTGTCGATCGCAATTCTTGCTTTGCATCTTGCCACTGCTGGAGGCGCCTTCAGTGCGCAGCAGAGAGCGCCACCATGCCGGAGGTCATGTCAATCGTGAAAACTCCCAAGGAGGCGTTCCAGGGCATGGTGGACAAGGGCGTTGGGATGGGCGGCGACTCGTCCATCAAGATCTTCCACCAATCCTTCTATGCTGGTTGCTACATTGGCTTCGGTGGCATGCTGTCGATGGTGGTGGCTGGCGGTCTGAAAAGCGCAGCCGAGGACAATCCGACCATTCAGACCTTTGTGTTCGCTGCGCTCTTCCCTGTGAACCTGCTGCTCATCCTCCTCACAGGTGGGGTGCTGATCACGGGCACTGCGGCGACCGTGCCTGCCGCGGTGTTTGAAGGCAAGCTGCCCCCTGTGCAGATCGCGAGGACGTTTGCGCTGGCTTGGCTGGGCAATCTGCTTGGCGCCTTGCTCTTCGCTGGCTTTGTCACGGCCTGTAACTTGAACGTGGGCCTGACTAGTGAGCTTGCGATCAAGGTGGCGGAGAAGAAGATCAAGGAGAACTTTGGGGTCACCTTCCTCAAGGGAATCGGCTGCAACTGGCTGGTGTGCATGGCTGTGTTCCTGCAGGGCCAAGCACAGGACATGGTTGGCAAGATGGTGGGCATCTGGTTCCCCATCTCTTGCTTCGTGGCCATCGGCTTCGAGCATATCCCAGCCAACATGTTCATGATCCCCATGGGGATGATGGCCGGCGCCGACGTGTCCGTGCTAGATTGCCTTTGGAGGAATTTCATCCCAGTGACCCTCGGGAACATCTTTGCAGGTTCCATCTTCGTTGGCGGTGGCTACTCTTTCGCCTTCGGCAGGCTAGGCAGCTCGCCGATGTTCAACATGCCCACGAAGGAGCAGGGTCCATCCAAGGAGCAGCAGGCCACTGGCAACGCGGTCGAGGTTCCACCTGAGGCGCAGGGCCTATGATCGCGTCTTATCATACTGTACACTTGCCGTCTGGCATGTACATCGCGCGGAGTAGTTCTTTTTTCCAGGATAGTTGCATGATCCCAAGCAGTTGCCCACAGCGCTTCAGCTGTCGGCAGCCGACAGATTTTCGGAGTTGACGTCCTCTCACCGACGCCCAGGCACCGCTAGGTGTATGGTTTGTCAGTCAGGCAGACGTCCTCTCACCGACAGCATCTGCTCCGCATGCTATCTCACTCCTGCGAGGGTCCGAAGTTACTCTTCCGGAGCGGTAGCCATGGGATTGGCGATAGCGGCCCCTGTCGTCATCTAATGTTGCATTTCTTCTCCATCCGGTGTCCGATTTTGACCAGATGTGCTTCGATGGAAGCTGCATCCACGTGGCAGTCGCCGCAGGCGTCGCCAGAGGGTAAGCGCTCTCGCGTGGACTGTTTGTGTCGACCTGCTTGTCTGAGGCACTGAGCGCCGTTGCATACAAAGCTGTACAACCAGCGCACGCTATGGACAGTCTGAAGCCACAGCTCGCTATGCGGCGCTCATTGCCCTGAATGGTGTTCTTCGGCATGGGGAGACGCTGGGCATGACGAATCCTCACGGTGCCGTTATGGATCGTGTAGCACATATGCGCAGTTGCCAGGAATTTTTGTGGACGAATGAGCGCAGCGCCAAGGCGAGATCCACATTTTGAAAACCAGGCGCATTCCGTCCAATGAACTCTTGGGACATTGAAGCTCCAGGGTCAGTGGCGAGGAAGTCTTAGGGGAAACGCTCTGCCCGCCCTTCGACACGTTTGGTGGCGCGACGACGATGAGGGGTCATTCAGGAGGAGGGGCGGATGATGGGGAGGAAAGGGAGGACGGGTGGAGGAGGGGTGAGGAAGAGGACCGGGAGGATGTGGATGGAGGGGAAAGGGAAAGGGGGGAGGGGCCGAGAGATCCGATGTCCTTTTTTTTCCATGCGGGGTCCCCAGAGGCCCGGACACATTCCCCATGGCAAGTTTTTCGTCCCAGAGCTCGAAGCTGTGGCCTCCAGATGCCAAACACCACGAGAAACTTCCACGAGAAACCTCTGGCTTGTTCCTCTCAGGGCTTGACGACTGTTCTCCGATCGACTTGCCAGGATCAAGCCGGATACATCAAGGTGTATCCGAAAATGTCGAGGTAAACCCAGGCGGATCAAGGTAACTCCAGATATCCCCAGGGAAACCTTGAGCAAAGCGTGGGCGCTTCAGCAAGTCTCAAGAAGAAAGAACATGGTGAAACAGGGGTCGCCCTCCAGCGTGATAGCTGGTGGAAGGTTTCAGGTCGAGTGTGCGCAGCGCCAAGGCGACGTCCCCACGCTTTTCTTTGAAAATCAGCCGCTCTGCATCTGCGTACAGTGGATACCCATGCATAGAAACACCATGCTTGCCTCCAGGGTGCCCTGGTTTGGAAAGCGTGACGTTTCCATGCATCTTGGGGTCTCAGGGTTGGGTTTCTTGTGGAAGGTTTCTTGTGGTCGAACTCCTGCTGTAGCAGTCGTGAACAGTTCAGACGAATGTGCTGGCGCTAGGGTGAGAATCACACTTTGAATACCAGCCGCCTTCATGCTTGCGGCTGTCGGAATCCATCGCCATTGGCAAAAAGCTGTTTTGTATCAAGATTGTGCTGTCGATAGCATCTCTTGTTCTGCATCTTGCCACTGCTTGAGGCGCCTTCAGTGCGCAGCAGTGTCCGCCACCATGCCGGAGGTCATGTCCATCGTGAAAACTCCCAAGGAGGCGTTCCAGGGCATGGTGGACAAGGGCGTTGGGATGGGCGGCGACTCGTCCATCAAGATCTTCCACCAATCCTTCTATGCGGGTTGCTACATTGGCTTCGGTGGCATGCTGTCGATGGTGGTGGCTGGCGGTCTGAAAAGCGCAGCCGAGGACAATCCGACCATTCAGACCTTTGTGTTCGCTGCGCTCTTCCCTGTGAACCTGCTGCTCATCCTCCTCACAGGTGGGGTGCTGATCACGGGCACTGCGGCGACCGTGCCTGCCGCGGTGTTTGAAGGCAAGCTGCCCCCTGTGCAGATCGCGAGGACGTTTGCGCTGGCTTGGCTGGGCAATCTGCTTGGCGCCTTGCTCTTCGCCGGCTTTGTCACGGCCTGTAACTTGAACGTGGGCTTGACTAGTGAGCTTGCGATCAAGGTGGCGGAGAAGAAGATCAAGGAGAACTTTGGGGTCACCTTCCTCAAGGGAATCGGCTGCAACTGGCTGGTGTGCATGGCTGTGTTCCTGCAGGGCCAAGCGCAGGACATGGTTGGCAAGATGGTGGGTATCTGGTTCCCCATCTCTTGCTTCGTGGCCATCGGCTTCGAGCATATCCCAGCCAACATGTTCATGATCCCCATGGGGATGATGGCCGGCGCCGACGTGTCCGTGCTAGATTGCCTCTGGAGGAATTTCATCCCGGTGACCCTCGGGAACATCTTTGCAGGTTCCATCTTCGTGGGCGGTGGCTACTCTTTCGCCTTCGGCAGGTTAGGCAGCTCGCCGATGTTCAACATGCCCACGAAGGAGCAGGGTCCATCCAAGGAGCAGCAGGCCACTGGCAACGCGGTCGAGGTTCCACCTGAAGCGCAGGGCCCATGATTGCGTCTTGTCATACTGTACACTTGCCGTCTGGCATGTACATCGTGCGGAGTAGTTCTTTTTTCCAGGATTGTTGAATGATCCGAAGCAGTTGCCCACAGCGCTTCAGCTGTCGGCAGCCGACAGATTTTCGGAGTTGACGTCCTCTCACCGACGCCCAGGCACCGCTAGGTGTATGGTTTGTCAGTCAGGCAGACGTCCTCTCACCGACAGCATCTGCTCCGCATGCTTCCGAAGTTACTCTTTCGGAGCGGTAGCCATAGGGTTGGCGATAGCGGCCCCTGTCGTCATCTAATGTTTCATTTCTTCTCCATCCGGTGTCCGATTTTGACCAGATGTGCTTCGATGGAAGCTGCATCCACGTGGCAGTCGCCACAGGCGTCGCCAGAGGGTAAGCGCTCTCGCGTGGACTGTTTGTGTCGACCTGCTTGTCTGAGGCACTAAGCGCCGTTGCATACAAAGCTGTACAACCAGCGCACGCTATGGACAGTCTGAAGCCACAGCTCGCTATGCGGCGCTCATTGCCCTGGATGGTGTTCTCCGGCATGGGAAGACGCTGTGCATGACGAATCCTCACGGTGCCGTTATGGATCGTGTAGGAAATTTGTGCCGTTGCCGGGAATGTTTGTTGACGAATGAGCGCGGCGTCAAGGCGAGATCCACATCTTGAAAACCAGGCGCATTCCATCAATGTACCTCTTGGGACATTCAAGCTCCAGGGTCACCGGCGAGGAAGTCCCAGGGGAAACGCTCTGACCGCCCTTCGACACGTTTGGTGCCACGACGGGGAGGGGCCATTCAGGATGAGGGGCTGATGATGGGGGTGACAGGGAGTTGTTGTTGTGGAGCGACCTGAAGTCAGAGAGCAAAACCTCTCCTTCCGAATCCGAGGCCTTCTCATCCTCGGGATCCTGGGGAGGTCGGCGCGCCGCCTCGCCTAGCGACCTGATCGAGCTCAGGTCGCCCTCCTGCAGGCCGAAGGCCTCCAGCACGGCCTCGCGAGATGCGTAGCCAGCCTGGGATTGGCCTGCCTTGCCTGCGGGAGGTTGAGGCGAGGGGTGACATCTAACGCTCATAGTGTCCCGCCCTGCTTCCGAAAGCCCTCTGGACTGGGTTGACAGACAGGTTCTTAGACGAGGCCCTGCCATGAGGGTGCTTCCCGTCCTGAATTCCCTTCAACTGGTGCCTGACTTGAGCGGGTCGCGGCCTCGGGTGACAATCGGCACTCAGCAGATCCCCTGGCTCAAATTCCTCACACTTCGCACCGCGCTTCACACAGGACACAGTGGGCACACCCGCGCGCACACGGCTCTCGATCTCACGGCGCATCAGGGCGTGCCCTCGGACAGCGAGCGCAGAGGTGGCCTCGTCGGCCCAGTCGACACCCTCCGTCCCACTCAGCTCCACCTGTCCCCACCACCAGACTCTTCCATCCCTGGCTCAGGCACAGGTGGCTGCTCGTGCGTTTCAGGAGCGACTTTTTCGACTGCTGCGAGGCCTGCAGTGTCTGAACGCTCTTCAGACAGGCCCTGCAGGTGCACCTCTAGGTTGGCAGCCCACTTGGCCGACTCCTTGACTAGACACTTGAGACCTCTGTACAAGTTCACGTATTCCTCGCGAAGGTGGTGCTTGGCGGCACCCATCTTCGCATTAGAGTCAACCGAATCATTGGCACGTTTTTCCCATAGGGTCGTCTTGCCGCTGTGGACGTCTGACATCGTGCAGTGAGCTGCCGTTTTGTACGCAGTGAAATCCCCAGGCGAAAAACTGGCCCAAAAGGGGGCCCAACGATGGGCCCTGGGCCCACCAGCCGAGGCCCCAGCCCCATGGCCACCCCAGAGGACATCCAGAGTTCCCTGGCAGTCACAATACATATATATATATATATATACACATATAGATATACATATATATATATATATATATATATCGATAGGCGCCATCGCGCATTGGTTCAACATATCAACAGCATAGTCTTCTCCATCTTTAGCCGACTGTCTCGGCCCATGGGAAAACGGAACTGGGCCATAGCAGGCTGCAATGACAGTACCCAGGGGGTCGGCCTGGACTAAGGCCCATCCAGCGCTCGAGAGCCCAGGGATCCCAGGCCATAAAGCAGAACTGTCCGAAAAAATGGACCACTGAGTCGACCAGACTCAGGCTTGTTTATCCCAAACACTGTCTGCTCAGGCTCCTGGGACGAACACAGGGCCATGGGGGACGGAAACATCGCGCGCGCAAATCTCTCTGCGAGCGCCTCCCCTCCTTCATACACACGCTCGGCCCTGGTGGCCAGCTGTGGCGAGATCATGTCTCTCCTGAGCGCAGCGTGAGCCGAGCACCGATATTGTCTGTGAAACAAACTTCCCTTCTCCTCCATACGGACCCTACACTTGCCACAGCTGTGGTAGCCGTGCCGATGCACTCTAGCCTGAGGCCAGCGCACCTTACTCATTAAGCTCCTCAGGGACCTCTGATGCTGGGGCTTCCAAGTGGAGGAGGAGGAGGAGGAGGATCGGAGGAGAGGCTTCAACGCATCCCAGAACAGCGGGTACCCTGGGATGACATCACCTACCTGCAACGCCTGTCTACCAGGCGCCCTGATGGCCGCAGCTCGGACCTGTAGCCGAATCTCGACAGCCGAAATCTGGGAGAGATTCCAGACCTGCCCGAGGTCCGACACAAGCGTACGAACATCCCTGAAATTCCAGCCCACACGAGCCAGGCTGAGCACAGCCACATCTGCAGGAGTTGACGCTCCTTGCCACGGGTGCTTCTTCGAATTCGCTCGGGCAATGGTTGCGCCAGCCGTCGCATTGAGGATCGACACCTTAGGAAAACTGTCCCAGACCGCCGTGGCCAACTGGAAGGCCACATGGCCGACATAGGCAACGAAAGGATCCACGATTTCGCCCAATTGAAAAGAGTGCAGACGAATCCCAAGGGAGGCACCTTTTGGGTGGCGCCCTAAAGCATGGGCCGCCGACAGCCTCAGGCAATGCATGGCCGTCGGCGGAATCCCCGAGACGCTGCTGCCCCAAAGTGCTGAGGCCGTGGCCCCCATGCGCTGTACAAGAGCCACATCGGCCCCAGCCTCCCTCAGAAGTCGAAGTCGCTTCGAGCGCGATCCTGCATCTATGAATCTCGCCCTCTGGATCCCCACACGTCGTCTAGAAACTGTTGTAGCATCGGTGCCTAAGTTGTGCGCATGCTCGATCCGAGACGACACTGGTAGGCACCGCGCTCCAGCAACATGCGCTTGAACTTCACGCGTGCACATGTACTTCGTTTTCTTGATGTTCACTAGCAGGTGAAGCTCCTCAAAGCACATAAAAAGCTGGCCGACAGCTCCTGCCAGCACTTGCGCTACCTGAGCGGGCCGTCCACACGCCTGGAGCGCAACATCATCCACCGCATTGCGGATGCACAAATTGGGACGACCTTGTTGAGTTAGAAGAAGCGGTCGGAGCAGCAGTAACTTGGCCGGAGTTGTCGCCCCTGAGCATCCTGCCACCGCAGCTGCATTCGCCAAGTATGCCGTCGAAACCGCCCCTCCATACATGAGAGCATTATACCCAGCATGAATCGAGCAATGCCCTCTGAGGATCTTGATGGGGAACCCATACTGGAGCCCAGCAGCTTTGAGATCTGAGTGCCGAATGTGCTCATGGAAGCGACTCAAGTCCACCAAGACAGACCCACTCTGGAAGCCTACCTCCTTGCAGAAACCTCCCAAAAGATTGTGAACCCAGCCAGCCCTCTCACACGCGTTGTGTCCCGTGCCCCAGTAAAAGGCCTCTGCGTGCTTCTTCTCCCATGCCTGGCGGCATGGCTGTCGGAGCCGAGACCACAACCGTGAGACGAGGCAGAGGAGGCCGATGGGGCGCACGCCGCCGCCGTCGGGCGTGTCTACGAAGACCATGCTGGTCGAGAACATGAGCAGATCCTGTGGCCTGTCCCCAAACCTGTGCAGGATGTCCAGAAGCCCGAGCGGATGTTCTTCCGTGGGGCTCAATGCCCATCTTGGGTGGAAACCATCCCAGCCCAAACCGGGCCCTGGGGCCTACTGCCGACAAAGATTTAGAAGCCGATCCAAGGAAATAGGCACCAACTGAGCTTCATCATCAGGGACAGACCACTGCGAGGGGTGTTCATCCAGCCTGCCAGCAACGCACCACAGTGGCACCCACTCGTCTAAGAAAGTTCAGAGCGCTCCGGCACCTACATGCGGGACGCCTTCGGCGTCGAGAAGTGAAGTGATATTCGATGCCTTCTTTTTCGCAAACTTGTGAGCCGTCTTTCCTCCTCCTTTCGCACTCTCGACCGCCCAGTTCCTCCACTCCTTAAGTGGATGCTTTGAGTCCTCCCGTCTCCTGCTGTCAACCTCCTCGTCCATCTTACACAAGGCATTGTGGACGGGCTCGTCGCCCGTGGTGACAACATCGGCGAAGGTGCTCAAAAAAATCGGCGAGAGCTCGGCGTCAGCAGCGAATGGGCCCATGTTGGCGACCATGGCCTTCAGGTCCCTGGACCACTGAGCGAGGAGCAAGCGGCCCTTGCAGCCAACTTCACCTATCCGAGTCTGACAAGTCCGCCTGCACAGCGCTACACCAGAGATCCAGGCCGTAGCCGACCAAGGAAACCTGCGCCTCTGGTCCTTTCCCCAAACCGCTGCGAGGGAAACGACCTTCGATTTGGGCCCAGCGGCCCTGCCCACGTACGCCCTGGAGTTCTGAGGGTCTATCCCGTGGATGTGGATCAAGCGGCGCTCCGAACAACCAAACCACTCCTTAACCATGAGGTGGAGGTCTGACGGGGCACCCACATCCCAAGACCAGTTGTACTCCTGGGGGGCCTGCAGGGACCCGATGAGCTCCATGGGGAACGCCTTGAAGCGCACTTGCTGGCTGATCGTCGACACGTGGCTGAGATCCTTAAGCTTTAAGAAGACAGGCGCGTGCGGGTAAAGGGAGCCTGGTCCATGACCGAGATCTCCTCAACACGCGTGGCCAACACCTCTGCGACCACAAAGAAGTCGAGGACCCTACTAGCATCGGCAGCTCGAACTGGCCCAGCTACTTCACCCAAGATGACCCACTCGTCCAAGGTGCCCTTAGAGTCCTGCTGAGGCACTAGTTGAGCCTCCTGGGGGCATGTATTCCTGCAAAGTGGGGTCTCTGGTGCCACAAGTACCCCTCGAACCTTCTGCAGCCACCCCGATTCATGAAGTGCTTCAGGCTCAAAGTTGAAACCCCCTTGGAGCACCCGGGGCCTATCCTGGGCCATGACATAGGCCCCGGCCGTCTGCAAGAGGTCCATGTTGGGCCCTGAGGGTTCCTTGCCCGTCACAAAGTACACGCTGATGATGGCGAGCCCCTTCGGGAACCTCACGTTGACAATCCTGGCTACGACTCTGCTAGAGCCGTCCTCAAATACCGTGGTCGCTATCGGTGTCGAACCTAAGGTGGAACGGACAGCAACTGCAACGCCCGAGCTACACTGCTGCGCAGCTGGCCCTGTGCTGTGAGCCAACCCAACGAGAGAAGATAACCATGCCTGCGCCCCCACCTCATGGCGGATACCTGCTTGGTATCACTCTTGATGCGCGTCTCCTGAATGCAGCAGACCTGTGGAAGAGGATGGGCACCGTCGCTTTGCCGTCGTCGCCTATCCACTCCATCACCGCCTCAACGTGCTCATACCTGATGGCTGCTGACTGCGGTTGCCGACGGGCCTCTTCAGCAGCGAAACTCTTCAACGCCACAGCGGGGCCCTGGACCACCTCTGGGGTGCATTCGTCCGCGAGAAGATTACGAGCAGGAGGTTCTGGCGCCCTCCTGTCGGCGCCCCGCCGCTGATATTTCGAGACTGGGTCGATCAAAAGTTGGGGAGGGGGGATGGCGGTCCCCAAACCGCCACCAGTTGCACCAACTGCCCCCGATGGTCGGCACCCTCTGGCACCACAATGCTGACTGGGGGGCGCTGAGCGGCGCGTGCCAGCGGCAGAGGCCGAAGGTCGGTACCCTCTGACATTCCCAATGTCGGCTGATGGTGCTGAGCAGTGCCTGCCAACGGGGGCCGAGGTGCACGTCGAAGATGCCCCTCATGACTGGAACGGCGCGGCCCGTAGCTTCCTCCCAATCTGCATCGATCATGTTGCTATCCAGGAAGCGGCCTAGATCAGCCATGGCCGTCCGCCAGCTGCCTGCGCCGCTCGGGCTAGGATCTGGTCCGAGCACGCTTGACCCCAGGCGCCTGCGCGGCTGCGAGGTACTTGCGCTTGGCTGCTTCCAACACTTCCTGGGGCCCAGCTTTGGCTGCCTTGAGCTCCTCGGTGGCTGTGTCAAAGGCCTGCTTCCGTCGCCGTCATTCGCGGCGACGGACGCAGGCCTTTGACATCGCGTCGCCGTCATTGGCGGCGACGTGCTCGCCGTCCCCTGCTGGGGGGCTGAGCACCAGAGCCAGCGGCGCCCACAGGAGCTGCGGCGGCCCGAGCTGCTGCCTGTGCGTCGAGCTGCAGCTGCTGAAGCTTCTCCAGCGCAGCCCTGCCCTCAGCCGACTCGACGACCGATGCTGCAAGCCCTGCGGACATGGCCTGGAGCGGGTCCTCGAACTCGCTGACGTGCGCCTTGCACAAGAGCTCCTGGGCCTGACCGAGGTTCTCCCGTCCCTTGGCCAAGGGCTCCTTGACAGCGGCGAGCTCCTCATCCAATGCTGTGTGCAGGCGCTCGATCTCGCTGATCCGCGCCTCCATCTTCGTGATCTTGGACTTGAGGTTCTCAACCTTCAGCGCGCCGCCTGAGCAGTCGGTGCGCGCTTCTTCGTCTCCGTAGCCTTCTTCTCTGCCTCCACCACTGCGTCGATGGCCGTGCTGTCGACGCCGAGCTTCTTGAGGTAGGCGAGGACCTCGTTGTCCTTGGCGGACTGGGCAGCACCGCCTCCGCCGTTGCCTCCTGCCCCTGCTCCAGAAGCCCATGGGGGCGCCCCACCTGTCGACTGTGGGGATCCTCCTTTGAGCTTCGCGACCTGCTGCTGCAGGTCCTGCAGTTGCTTGAGCATCTTGGCATTGGCGTTCCCTGGGGGACCCTGAGCCCACTGGCCGGGCGGCGGCCTGAGCCTGCTCCCCACTGGCTGCTGAGGTGGCAAGGCCTTGGCAGCAGCCTGGCGCGCAGCCTGGGTGGTCTTCTGCGCAGCAGGGCGACCACACAGACGGCACGAGATCCTCGACGCCCAGCTGTCCGCCGCTCCGCATTGACAGCCCCAGTGGGGTGTACGCGGCCCTGGCAGCACTTGACCATGGGCTATCCACTGCGGAAAGCACCACGGCGAATGGCTGGCCACACGGGCCTCGTGAAAAGAACAGCGAGATTGACCCGCAAGCGCGAGCCGCTCCGAAGCACGCGCTTGCAAGCCCAGGCCACAACAGCCTGAGCCAGAACGGCTGGGGGTGACAGGGAGGAAGGGTGGAGGAAGGGTGAGGAAGAGGACCGGGAGGATGTGGAGGGAGGGGAATGGGAAAGGGGGGAGGGGCCGAGAGCTCCGATGTTTTATTTTGTTCATGCGGGGTCCCCAGAGGCCCGGACACATTCATTATGGCAAGTTTTTCATCCCAGAACTCGAATCTGTGGCCTCCAGATGCCGAACACCACGAGACATTTCCAGGAGAAACCTCTGGCCTGTTCCTCTCAGGGCTTGACGACTGTTCTCCGATCGATTTGCCAGGATAAAGCCAGACACATCATGGTATATCCGTACATATCGAGGTACACCCAGGCGGATCAGGGTAATTCTAGACGTTGCGCATATCCTAACCAGCCAATCCAGAACCGATGTTCAGGCGAGTTGAGGTAGATGGCCGAACCGTGCGAAGGAGGGAGGAGAAGAAGGAGGAGGCTGGATGGATGGATGATGGAGTGGGGAGAAGAATTGACAGGATGATGATGATGATGATGATGATGATGATGATGATGATGATGATGATGATGATGATGATGATGATGATGATGATGATGATGATGATGATCATGATGATGTTGATGATGATGAAGATGAAGAATAATAATAAGAAGAAGACGAACACTAATATTAATAATAATAATAATAATAATAAGAATAATCAGAATAATAATAAGATGATGGTGGTGATGATGATGATGACGATGATACTGATGAGGATGATGATGATGATGATGATGATGATGATGATGGTGATGATGATGATGTTGTTGATGTTGATGTGATGGTGGTAGTGATGATGATGCTGAAAATGATGATGATGAGGAGGAGGGGGAGGAGGAGGAAGTGAAGGAGTAGGAGGATGAGAGAGGAGCAGGAGGAGGAGGGCAAGCAAAAGGGCTAGAGGTCTCTTGGATGTCTCTCGCAGCCTCTTGGGATGTTTCTTGGGCGCCCGTCTGGGCGCCTCTTTGGGCCTTTTTTGGGGAGCTCTTGGGAGCTTTTTAAGGGACCGAGCCATACACCGACGCCTTTGTCTGGCCTCACACTGAATCTCGCACAGGAAAGCGGATCCTGGTGTATACGGGATCTTGGTGTATACATTCTTCGTTGTTTCTTCGGGAAAGCGGAGAACAAAGTATACACCACACTACCCCGACGTCGCCCCCGACCCTCAAAAATGTCTGGGGATTGAAAAACCGCCCGCCAGGGGTAATGTACATGCTCCAGTTTCCGACTTTAGGGGCGCTCTTGGTGCCACATTGGAGGTAATCGATCAAATAATGGGTGGTCCTTGATTGGCCTCCCCCCTGGGGAGCCCCAAAAATTGTCTCATGGAACCCTCTTGGAGCGCTCTTGGAGCGCTCTTTGTCGCTCTTGGGGCCGTCTTGGGATTCTCTTGGGCCTCTCTGAAGGCCCTCATGGGCCCTCTTGGAGCTGTCTTGAGGCCTCGGAAGCCCATCGGAAACGAAAAAGGCGCGACGGCCAACTTCATTGATGTTCCTTAGGTGTTTGAAGGATTTTGGCATCTTGGCGGCCTCCTTGGGAGGCTCCGTGGCTACTTGGAGCCGTCTTTGGGGCGGTCTTTGGGCCTCTCGGAGCATGTTGGGAGCCATCTTGAGGCATTTTGCGCACTCTTGAGTCATCTTCGAGGTCATCTTGGGCTCTGAGGCCCTCTTGGAGCCATCTTGGGCCATCTTGGACGCTCCAACGTTTCGCGACCGCACCCCTCCAGGTCCAGGGGAGGGGGTAAGGGGGAGGGGTAAACCCTTCCTCGAAGGGGAAGAGGGAGAGGTGGAAGAGGAAACGCCCTAAACCACCTACGCCCAGAGGGCTGGTGGGACTCCAGGTACCCCCAGGGAAAACTTGAGCAAAGCGTGGGCGCTCCAGCAAGTCTCAAGAAGAAAGAACATGGTGAATCAGCAGTCGCCGTGCACCGTGATAGCTGGTGGAAGGTTTCAAGACGAATGTGCGCAGCGCCAAGGCGATATCCCGCACTTTACTTTGAAAGTCAGCCGCTCTGCATCCGCGTACAGTGGAAACCCATACCAAGAATCACCCTGCTTGCCTCCAGGGTGCCCTGGGTTTCTGGGGTTTCGATGGTTTTGCGGTGGAATACGTGACGTTCCCATGCATCCTGGGGTCTCAGGGTTTGATTTCTTGTGGAAGGTTTCTTATGGTCGAACTCCTGCTGTAGCAGTCGTGAACAGTTCAGACGAATGTGCTGGCGCTAGGGTGATAATCACACTTTGAAAACCAGCCGCCTCCATGCTTGCAGCTGTCGGAATCCATCGCCGTTGGCTAACAGCTGTTTTGTATCAAGATTGTGCTGTCGATCGCATCTCTTGCTCTGCATCTTGCCACTGCTGGAGGCGCCTTCTGTGCGCAGCAGAGTGCGCCACCATGCCGGAGGTCATGTCCATCGTGAAAACTCCCAAGGAGGCGTTCCAGGGCATGGTGGACAAGGGCGTGGGGATGGGCGGCGACTCGTCCATCAAGATCTTCCACCAATCCTTCTATGCGGGTTGCTACATTGGCTTCGGTGGCATGCTGTCGATGGTGGTGGCTGGCGGTCTGAAAAGCGCAGCCGAGGACAACCCGACCATTCAGACCTTTGTGTTCGCTGCGCTCTTCCCTGTGAACCTGCTGCTCATCCTCCTCACAGGTGGGGTGCTGATCACGGGCACTGCGGCGACCGTGCCTGCCGCGGTGTTTGAAGGCAAGCTGCCCCCTGTGCAGATCGCGAGGACGTTTGCGCTGGCTTGGCTGGGCAATCTGCTTGGCGCCTTGCTCTTCGCCGGCTTTGTCACGGCCTGTAACTTGAACGTGGGCCTGACCAGTGAGCTTGCGATCAAGGTGGCTGAGAAGAAGATCAAGGAGAACTTTGGGGTCACCTTCCTCAAGGGAATCGGCTGCAACTGGTTGGTGTGCATGGCTGTGTTCCTGCAGGGCCAAGCGCAGGACATGGTTGGCAAGATGGTGGGCATCTGGTTCCCCATCTCTTGCTTCGTGGCCATCGGCTTCGAGCATATCCCAGCCAACATGTTCATGATCCCCATGGGGATGATGGCCGGCGCCGACGTGTCCGTGCTAGATTGCCTCTGGAGGAATTTCATCCCGGTGACCCTCGGGAACATCTTTGCAGGTTCCATCTTCGTGGGCGGTGGCTACTCTTTCGCCTTCGGCAGGTTAGGCAGCTCGCCGATGTTCAACATGCCCACGAAGGAGCAGGGTCCCTGAAAGGAGCAGCAGGCCACTGGCAACGCGGTCGAGGTTCCACCTGAAGCGCAGGGCCCATGATTGCGTCTTATCATACTGTACAGTTGCCGTCTGGCATTTAAATCGTGCGGAGTAATTTTTTGATCAGGATAGTTGTTTTACCACGACCCCCCCCCGCTTCAGCTGTCGGCAGCCAGCAGGTTTTCGGAGTTGACGTCTTCTCACCGACGCCCAGGCACCGCTAGGTGTATGGTTTGTCAGTCAGTCATACGTCCTCTCACCGACGGCATCTGCTCCGGTTTGAATGTAGAAGCCGATTTCTTCATCCCATGTGCCATCTCACTCCTGCGAGGGTCCGAAGTTACTCTTTCGGAGCGGTAGCCATGGGGTTGGCGATAGCGGCCCATATCGTCATCTAATGTTGCATTTCTCCATTTGGTGTCCGCCTTTGACCAGATGTGCTTCGATGGAAGCTGCATCCACGTGGCAGAAGCCGCCACAGGCTTCGCCAGAGGGTAAGCGCTCTCGCGTGGACTGTTTGTGCCGACATGCTTGTCTGAAGCACTGAGCGCCGTTGCATACAAAGTTGCACAACTTGCGTACGCTATGGACAGTCTGAAGCCACATCTCGATATTCTGAGCTTAAGGCCTTAGATGTGGCTCGTCGGAATAGGTAGATGCTGGGCATGACGAATCCTCACGGTGCCGTTGTGGCTCGTGTAGAACATTTGTGCAGTTGCTGGGAATTTTTGTAGACGCATGTACGCGGCGCCACGGCGAGGTCCACGTTTTGAACACCAGGCGCATTCCCCATGTAACCGTTGGGACATTCAAGCTCAAGGGTCAGTTGTGAGGAAGTCTTAGGGGAAACGCTCTGCCTGCCCTTCGACACGTCGAGTGGCGCGACGACGGGGAGGTGTCATTCAGGATGAGGGGCGGATGATGGGGATGACAGGGAGGAAGGGTTGAGGAGGGGTGAGGAAGAGGACCGGCAGGATGTGGAGGGAGGGCAATTGGAAATGAGGGAGGGGCCGAGAGATCGTTTTTTTTTCTCCATGCGGGGTCCCCAGAGGCCCGTACACATTCCCCATGGCAAGTGTTTCGTTCCAGAGCTCGAAGCTGTGGCCTCCCGATGCCGAACACCACGAAACTTCCAGGAGAAACCTCTGGCCTGTTCCTCTCAGGGCTTGACGACTGTTCTCCGATAGGCTTGCCATGATCAAGCCATCTACATCAAGGTATAGCCATACAGATCGAGGTAAACCCAGGTGGATCAAGGTAAATCCAGAAATCCATCTTGGACGCTTCAACGCCGCGCGACCGCACCCCTCCAGGTCCAGGGGAGGGGGTAAGGGGGAGGGGTAAACTCTTCCTCGAAGGGGAAGGGGGAGGGGTGGAAGAGGAAATGCCATAAACCACCTACGCCCGGAGGGCTGGTGGGACTCCAGCTATCCCCGGGGAAACCTTGAGCAAAGCGTGGGCGCTTGAGCAAGTCTCAAGAAGAAAGAACATGGTGAATCAGGAATCGCTTTCCACCGTGGTAGCTGGTGGAAGGTTTTAAGACGAGTGTGCTCAGCGCCAAGACGGTATCCCAACGCTTTATTCATTGGTTGACGCCGCACCGCCGACCCTTTGGCGCGGCAGTAAGAGTGAAAAACAGAGTTAGCGGAACGATTTCTGGGGAATTTTGGGGTTTCAGTTTCTTGGGATTTCGTCGGGGGCGGTTGGCGGATCGCCGCTCTGCTCTTGGGCTTCTTGGGGCTCTCCTGGCAGCACTTTTGAGGCCTCCTGGGAGCCGTTTTGAGGCCTCTAGGAGCCTCGTTTGGGCCCCTCGGGGGCCTCGTGGGAGCCTATTGGGGGCCTATTGGCGCCTCCTCAGCTTTTTTCGGGGCCGAGTGCTCGAAATGTTCATTCGGGTTCCCCCTCTGGGCCTCCTCTCGGGGTCGTCCTGGGGCCCTCCTGGGTCGTTTTGGAAGCTTCTGGGGCCGTCTTGGGGCCCTCTTGGGCCATCTTGGAGCCGTCTTGGGGCCTCTGGGGCTATCTTGGGTCGATCTTGAAGGCTTCTTGGGCCGTTGTGGGCCTCGTGAAAGCCCAAGAGGCGAATGTGCTAAGAATACAGGTTTCCCCTAGGGAATGGGACGATTTTTGCTTCTGGAGGGCCTCTTGGGGCGCCTCTTGGTGGCTTGTTGGGGCGTCTTGGGGGCCTCTGGGACCGTCTGGAGGCGATCTTGGGCGTCTTGGAACGATCTTTCGGCGACTCGTAGCCCTCTTGGACCGTCGGGGGGGCCTTTTGGGGCCTCCTTACCCCGTTTTGGGCCCCCTGAGGCTCCAAGGGTGCGGCCGACACCTTTGCCCCCCAACCCCCTCCCTCCAAACCGGCCGGACCAGACTCCCGGGGGAGGGGTTTGGGGAGGGGGAAGCATCTCACACGCCGTGACCCCAAGGGGTCGGCGGATTTGAAAGTCAGCCGCTCTGCATCCGCGTACAGTGGAAACCCATGCCGCCAAGAAACACCCTGCTTGCCTCCAGGGTGCCCTGGGTTTCTTGGAGTCCGATGTTTTTGCGATGGAATACGTGACGTTCCCATACCAAGAAATCCATGTACCTCCTGGGGATTCAGGGTTGGGTTTCTTGTGTAAGGTTTCTTGTGGTCGAGCTCCTGCTGTAGCAGTCGTGAACAGTTCAGACGAATGTGCTGGCGCTAGGGTGAGAATCACACTTTGAAAACCAGCCGCCTTCATTCTTGCAGCTGTCTGAATCCATCGCCATTGGCTAACAGCTGTTTTGTATCAAGATTGTGCTGTCGATCGCATCTCTTGCTCTGCATCTTGCCACTGCTGGAGGCGCCTTCTGTGCGCAGCAGAGTGCGCCACCATGCCGGAGGTCATGTCCATCGTGAAAACTCCCAAGGAGGCGTTCCAGGGCATGGTGGACAAGGGCGTGGGGATGGGCGGCGACTCGTCCATCAAGATCTTCCACCAATCTTTCTATGCGGGTTGCTACATTGGCTTCGGTGGCATGCTGTCGATGGTGGTGGCTGGCGGTCTGAAAAGCGCAGCCGAGGACAACCCGACCATTCAGACCTTTGTGTTCGCTGCGCTCTTCCCTGTAAACCTGCTGCTCATCCTCCTCACAGGTGGGGTGCTGATCACGGGCACTGCGGCGACCGTGCCTGCCGCGGTGTTTGAAGGCAAGCTGCCCCCTGTGCAGATCGCGAGGACGTTTGCGCTGGCTTGGCTGGGCAATCTGCTTGGCGCCTTGCTCTTCGCCGGCTTTGTCACGGCCTGTAACTTGAACGTGGGCCTGACTAGTGAGCTTGCGATCAAGGTGGCGGAGAAGAAGATCAAGGAGAACTTTGGGGTCACCTTCCTCAAGGGAATCGGTTGCAACTGGTTGGTGTGCATGGCTGTGTTCCTGCAGGGCCAAGCGCAGGACATGGTTGGCAAGATGGTGGGCATCTGGTTCCCCATATCTTGCTTCGTGGCCATCGGCTTCGAGCATATCCCAGCCAACATGTTCATGATCCCCATGGGGATGATGGCCGGCGCCGACGTGTCAGTGCTAGATTGCCTCTGGAGGAATTTCATCCCGGTGACCCTCGGGAACATCTTTGCAGGTTCCATCTTCGTGGGTGGTGGCTACTCTTTCGCCTTCGGCAGGTTAGGCAGCTCGCCGATGTTCAACATGCCCACGAAGGAGCAGGGTCCCTGAAGGGAGCAGCAGGCCATTGGCAGCACGGTCGAGGTCTCACCTGAGGCGCAGGGCCCATGATTGCGTGCGTCTAATCAGAGTGTACAACTGCCGTTTGGCATTTAATTCGTGCGGAGTAAAGGTTTGATCAGGATGGTTGAATTATCCCAAGCAGTTGCCCACAGCGTTTGAGCTGTCGGCAGCCGACAGATTTTCGGAGTTGACGTCCTCTGACCGACGCCCAGTGTGTGTCTTAACCAGTCAGTCAGACGTACTCTCACCGACGGCATCTGCTCCTATTTGAATGTAGAAGCCGATTTCTTCATCCCGTGTGCCATCCCACTCCTGCGAGGGTCCGAAGTTACTCTTTCGGAGCGGTAGCCATGGGGTTGGCGATAGCGGCCCCTATCGTCATCTAATGCTGCATTTCTTAAGTTTGGTGTCCGCCTTTGACCAGATGTGCTTCGATGGAAGCTTCATCGCCTTGGCAGTTGCCACAGGGCGTCGCCAGAGGGTAAGCGTTCTGGTCTCGACTGTTTGTGTCGACATGCTTGTCTGGAGCAAGAACGCCGTTGCACACAAAGTTGTACAGCCAGCGCACGCTATGGACAGTCTGAAGCCACAGCTCGCTATGCGGTGCTCAAGGCCCTGGATGTGGCTCCTCGGCATAGGAAGGCGCTGGGCATGACGAGTCCTCACAGTGCCGTTATGGATCGTGTAGAAACTGTGTGCTGTTGCCATGATTTTTGTGGACGAATGTGTGCGGCGCCAAGGCGAGATCCACATTTTGAAAACCAGGCGCATTCCGTCCATATAACAACCGTTGGGACATTCAAGTTCCAGGGTCAGTGGCAAGGAAGTCTTAGGGGAAACGCTCTGCCTGCCCTTTGACACGTTTGGTGTCGCGACGACGAAGAGGGGTCATTCAGGAGGAGGGGCGGATGACGGGGAGGAAAGGGAGGAAGGGTGGAGGAGGGGTGAGGGAGAGGACTTGGAAGATGTGGACGGAGGGGAATGGGAAAAGGGGGAGGGGCCAAGAGATCCGATGTTTTTTATCCCCACCCATCCTGTGATGTTGGGCCCTCGTTTTGCAGAGAGCGAGATAAAGAGAGAGAGAGAGAGAGAGAGAGCGAGCGTGCCGCGCGTCCTCCTTCTCCTCGCCCCTCCTCTCCTCCTCTCCCTCCTCCCTCCTCCCATCCATGCCTCTGCCCTCCGCATGTCTGTGTTTCGGCGCACCGAGTGCAACGCTTCGTGGCCCCGTAGGGAGCTCCACCGAAGGCCCAAGTAGCGGGGTCCACATGGTGGCGCTGGCCCACTTTGGCGCACCACTCACACGGTTCGTGGCCCCGTAGGGAGTTTCACCGAAGGCCCAAGTAGCGGGGTCCACATGGCGGCGCTGGCCCAGTTTGGCGCACCACTCACACGGTTCGTGGCCCCATGGGGATTTCCACCGAAGGCCCCAAGCGGCAGGGTCCACATGGCGACACAATCCCACTTTGGCGCACCCCTCACACGGTTCGTGGCCCCATATGTGACTCCACCGAAGGCCCCAGTAGCAGGGTCCACATGGCGGCGCCGCCTCATTTTGGCACATCCTTTATATGGTCTGTGGCCTCGTAGGGAGCTCCACCGAAGGCCCCGGTGGCAGGGTCAACATGGCGGCGCCGCCCATTTTGGCGCACCCCTCACACGGTTCGTGGCTCCATGGGTATTTCCACCGAAGGCCCCAGTGGCAGGGTCCACATGGCGGCGCCGCCCCAGTTTGGCGCACCCCTCACACTGTTCGTGGCCCCATGGGGAGCTCCACCGAAGGCTCCAGTGGCCGGGTCCACATGGCGGCGCCGCACCATTCCGGCGCACCCCTCACACGGTTCGTGGCCCCATATGTGATTCCACCGAAGGCCCCAGTGGCAGGGTCCACATGGCGGCGCCGCTTCATTTTGGCACACCCTTTATATGGTCTGTGGCCTCGTAGGGAGCTCCACCGAAGGCCCCGGTGGCAAGGTCAACATGGCGGCGCCGCCCATTTTGGCGCACCCCTCACACGGTTCGTGGCTCCATGGGTATTTCCACCGAAGGCCCCAGTGGCAGGTTCCACATGGCGGCGCCGCCTCATTTTGGCGCACCCCTCACACGGTTCGTGGCCCCATGGGGAGCTCCACCGAAGGCTCCAGTGGCCGGGTCCACATGGCGGCGGCGCCGCACCATTCTGGCGCACCCCTCACACGGTTCGTGGCCCCATAGTGAGCTCCACCGAAGGCTCCAGTGGCAGGGTCCACATGGCGGGGCCGCCCATTTTGGCGCATTCCTCACACGGTTCGTGACCCCATAGGGAGCTCCACCGAAGGCTCCAGTGGCAGGGTCCACAGGGCGGCGCCGCACCATTCCGGCGCACTCCTCAGACGGTTCGTGACCCCATAGGGAGCTCCACCGAAGGCTCCAGTGGCAGGGTCCACATGGCGGCGCATCACCATTCTGGCGCACCCCTCACACGGTTCGCGACCCAATAGGGAGCTCCACCGAAGGCCCCAGTGGCAGGGTCCACGGCGGCGCCGCACCATTCTGGCGCACCCTTCACACGGTTCGTGGCCCCATAGGGAGCTCCACCAAAGGCCCCAGTGGCGGAGTTCGCACGGCGGTGCCACCCCGTTTTGGCACACCCCTCAGACAGTTCGTGACCCCGTAGGGAACTCCACCGAAATCGGCACCAGAACACAGTATTCATAACTGCACATGGTTGGGTCCTTCGCCAGGGCCATTTTTTTCAATGCGGGGTCCCCAGAGGCGTGGACACATTCCTCATCGCAATTGTTTCATCCCAGAGCTCGAAGCTGGCCTCCAGAGGCCGAACACCAAGAGAAACGTCTGGCCTTTTCCCCTCAGGGTTTGACGACTGTTCTCCGATCGACTGCCAGGATCAAGCCAGATACATCGAGGTACATGCATACACATCGAGGCAAACCCAGGTGGATCAAAAGCCTTGAGCAAAGCGTGGACGCTCCAGAAAGTCTCAAGGAGAAATAGCATGGTGAAACAGGAGTCGCCCTCCACCGTTACAGCTGGTGGAAGTTTCAAGACGAGTGTGTTCAGCGCCAATGCGACACCCTCACACTTTATATTTTAGCATCAGCCTCCGCGCCCTGGGTTTGTTGGTTTTCGATTTTTTTGCGATGGAATACGTGACGTTCCCATACCAAAAATCAATGTATCTCCTGGGGATTCAGGGTTGGGTTTCGTGTGGAAGGTTTCTTGTGGTCGAGCTCCTGCTGTAGCAGTCGTGAACAGTTCAGACGAATGAACTGGCGCAAAGGTGAGAATCACACTTTGAAAACCAGCCGCCTTCATGCTTGCAACTGTCGGAACCCATCGTCATTGGCTAACAGCTGTTTTGTATCAAGATTGTGCTGTCGATCGCATCTCTTGCTGTGCATCTTGCCACTGCTGGAGGCGCCTTCTGTGCGCAGCAGAGTGCGCCACCATGCCGGAGGTCGTGTCCATCGTGAAAACTCCCAAGGAGGCGTTCCAGGGGATGGTGGACAAGGGCGTGGGGATGGGCGGCGACTCGTCCATCAAGATCTTCCACCAATCTTTCTATGCGGGTTGCTACATTGGCTTCGGTGGCATGCTGTCGATGGTGGTGGCTGGCGGTCTGAAAAGCGCAGCCGAAGACAACCCGACCATTCAGACCTTTGTGTTCGCTGCGCTCTTCCCTGTGAATCTGCTGCTCATCCTCCTCACAGGTGGGGTGCTGATCACGGGCACTGCGGCGACCGTGCCTGCCGCGGTGTTTGAAGGCAAGTTGCCCCCTGTGCAGATCGCGAGGACGTTTGCTCTGGCTTGGCTAGGCAATCTGCTTGGCGCCTTGCTCTTCGCCGGCTTTGTCACGGCCTGTAACTTGAACGTGGGCCTGACTAGTGAGCTTGCGATCAAGGTGGCGGAGAAGAAGATCAAGGAGAACTTTGGGGTCACCTTCCTCAAGGGAATCGGTTGCAACTGGTTGGTGTGCATGGCTGTGTTCCTGCAGGGCCAAGCGCAGGACATGGTTGGCAAGATGGTGGGCATCTGGTTCCCCATATCTTGCTTCGTGGCCATCGGCTTCGAGCATATCCCAGCCAACATGTTCATGATCCCCATGGGGATGATGGCCGGCGCCGACGTGTCCGTGCTAGATTGCCTCTGGAGGAATTTTATCCCGGTGACCCTCGGGAACATCTTTGCAGGTTCCATCTTCGTGGGCGGCGGCTACTCTTTCGCCTTCGGCAGGTTAGGCAGCTCGCCGATGTTCAACATGCCCACGAAGGAGCAGGGTCCGCCGAAGGAGCAGCAGGCCACTGGCGACGCGGTCGAGGTTCCACCTGAGGCACAGGGCCTATGATTGCGCAGCCTCGCTGAGGGGCTTTAGCGTCTCATCATACTGTATAATTGCCGTCTGGCATTTACATCGTGCGGATTAGTATTTTTTCAGAACCGTTGTATTATCCCTTGCAGTTGCCCACAGCGTTTGAGCTGTCGGCAGCAGACAGATTTTCGGAGTTGACGTCCTCCCGACGCCCAGGCACCACTAGGTGTATGGTTTGTCAGCCAGTCAGACGCCCTCTCACCGACGGCATCTGCTCCGATTTGAATGTAGAAGCCGATTTCTTCATCCCGTGTGCCATCCCACTCCTGCGAGGGTCCGAAGTTACTCTGTTGGAGCGGTGGCCATAGGGTTAGCGATAGCGGGTCCTATCGTCATCTAATGTTGCATTTCTTCTCCATTAGGTGTCCAAGTTTGACCCGATGTGCTTCGATGGAAGCTGCATCCCCTTGGCAAGTGTCACAGACGTCGCCGGAGGGTAAGCGCTCTCGCGTGGACTGTTTGTGTCGACATGCTTGGCTGGAGCAAGAGCGCCGTTGCATACAACAAAGTCTCACAACCAGCGCACGCTATGGACAGTGACGTCACAGCTCGCTACGCGGCGCTCAAGGCCCTGGATGTGGCTCTTCGGCATGGGAAGATGCTAGGCATGACGAATTCTCACGGTGCCCTTATGGATCGTGTAGAGAATGTTTGCAGTTGCCTTGAACTTTTTGTGGACGAACGTGCGCGGCGCAAAGGCGAGATCCACATTTTGAAAACCAGGCGCATTCCATTCATGTAATTGTGGGGGCATTCAAGCTCCAGGGTCAGTGGCGAGGAAGTCTTAGGGGAAACGCTCTGCCCGCCCTTCGACACGTTTGGTGGCGCGACGACGACGACGAGGAGGGGTCATTCAGGAGGAGGGGCGGATGATAGGGAGGAAAGGGAGGAAGGGTGGAGGAGGGGTGAAGAAGAGGACTGGGAGGATGTGGAGGGAGGGGAATGGAAAAGAAGGATGGGCCAAGAGATCCGATTCCTTAATTTTTCCATTCGGGGTCCGTAGAGGCCCCGACACATTCCCCATGGTCAGTTTTTTCATCCCAGAGCTCGAAGCTGGCCTCCAGAGGCCAAACACCACGAGAAACCTTTGGCCTGTTCCCCTCAGGGCTTGACGACTGTTCTCCGATCGACTTGCCAGGATCAAGCCAGATACATCGAGGTACATGCATACACATCGAGGCAAACCCAGGTGGATCAAAAGCCTTGAGCAAAGCGTGGACGCTCCAGCAAGTCTCAAGGAGAAAGAACATGGTGAAACAGGAGTCGCCCTCCACCGTTGTAGCTGGCGGTAGATTTCAAGGCGAACGTGCTCAGCGCCAAGGCGACATCCCCAAACTTCGAACATCAGCCGCCCTACATCCGCGTAGCCGTCGTGAACTGTTCAGACGAATATGCTGGCGCTGAGGTGAGAATCACACTTGAAAAATCAGCCGCCTTCACGCTTGTAGCTGTGAAATTCCGTGGCAATTTTTGTTCCAGGCCGTTTTGTATCAAGATTGCGTTGCCGATCGCATCTGTTGACCTGCATCTTGCCACTGCCGGAAGCGCCTCCTGTCCGCAGCAGGTTGCGCGACCATGCCAGAGGTCGTGTCCATCTGAAAATTCCCAAGGAGGCGTTCCACCGCATGGTGGACAAGGGCGTGGGGTTGGGTGGCGACTCGTCCGTCAAGATTTCACCAGTCCTTCTGCGCTGGTTGCTACATTGGCTTCGGTGGCGTGCTGTCGATGGTGGTGGCTGGCGGTCTGAAAAGCGCAGCCGAGGACAACCCGACCATTCAGACCTTTGTGTTCGCTGCGCTCTTCCCTGTGAACCTGCTGCTCATCCTCACAGGTGGGGTGCTGATCACGGGCGCTGCGGCGACCGTGCCTGCCGCGGTGTTTGAAGGCAAGCTGCCCCCTTTGCAGATCGCGAGGACGTTTGCGCTGGCTTGGCCAGGCAATCTGCTTGGCGCCTTGCTCTTCGCGGGCTTGTTCACGGGCTGAAGCTTGAACGTGGGCCTGACTAGTGAGCTTGCGATCAAGGTGGCGGAGAAGAAGATCAATAATAACTTTGGGGTCACCTTCTTCCAGGGAATCTGCTGCAACTGGCTGGTGTGCATGGCTGTGTTCCTGCAGGGCCAAGCGCAGGACATGGTTGGCAAGATGGTGGGCATCTGGTTCCCCATCTCTTGTTTCGTGACCATCGGCTTCGAGCATATCCCAGCCAACATGTTCATGATCCCCATGGGGATGATGGCCGGCGCCGACGTGTCCGTGCTAGATTGCCTCTGGAGGAATTTCATCCCGGTGACCCTCGGGAACATCTTTGCAGGTTCCATCTTCGTGGGCGGCGGCTACTCTTTCGCCTTCGGCAGGTTCGGCAGCTCGCCGATGTTCAACATGCCCACGAAGGAGCAGGGCCCGCCGAAGGAGCAGCAGGCCACCGGCGACGCTGCTGGGGTTCCACCTGACGGCGTTCGAGCTGTCGGCAGTCGACTGATTTTTGGAGTTGACGTCCTCTCACCGACGCCCAGGCACCGCAAGGTGTATGGTTTGTTAGTCAGTCGGTCAGTCACACGTCCTCTCACCGACGGCATCTGTTCCGATTTGAATGTGGCAGCCGATTTCCCATCCCGTGTGCCCTCCCACTCCTGCGAGGGTCCGAAGTTACCCTTTGGAACAGAGACCGCGAGTTTGGCGACAGCGGCTCCTATCGTCATCCAATATTGCATTTGTTCTCCAGTACGTGGCCGAGTTTCACCAGGTGCGCTTCGATGGAAAATGCATCCACGTGGCAGTCGCCACAGGCGTGACCAGACGGCAGGCGCTCTCGCGTGGACTGTCTGTGTTGACACGCTTGTGTGAAGCACTGAGCGCCGTAGCATACAATTATTTACAACAAGCGTACGCAACGGTTAGTCTGAGGCCAAATCTTGCTGCGCGGCGCTCAAGGCCCTGGATGTGGCTCTTCGGCATGGGGATACGCCGGACATGACGAATCCTCACTGTGCCGCTATGGATCGTGTGAACAGTGCTTGTAGCTGTCGGAGACGTTTGTGGACGAAAGTGCGCGGCGCCAAGGCGAGGTCTACATTCTGAAGCCCGGGCGCATTCGGTCCATGTGACTGTCGGGGCGTTCAAGCTCCAGGGTCAGAGAACCGGGAGGATGACGAGGGAGGCGGACGGGAGAACGGGAGGCGCCCACCAGAGGTCCGATGTCTCGACCTTTCCGACGGGGGCCCCGGCGACCGCCGCCCGGCTGGCGGCGAAGCTGGCCGGCCGAGCGCCTGCGCAGGCGCGGGGGCGCGGCGGCCCAGGCCGTCACGCTCGCCCACAGCATCGCCGCGGGGCCCCTCGACCACCGGGCGGGCGACGGGGGCCCCCGGAGACCCCGGCGCTTCCCCGCGGCAGGTCTCTGCACCCCGAGCAGCTCGAGGGTTCGCCACCCACCAAACCACCCCAACCCAACCCGAAGGCTCAGATTTACCTTCGCTTTCTAGGGGGGGGGTCAGGAAACGTGGGAAAAACATGCGTGGAACCCTTACCCCCCCCCCAACCCGAAATTCGGGTCTTCGGGTTGGGTTGGGGTGGTCTGGTAGGTAGTCATCCACAGGCCGAACACCTAGAGAAACTTCTGGCCTGCCTCCTCTTGGGTTTGGCGACTGTTCCCCAATCGACTTGCCGGGGTCAAGCCAGATGGGTCGAGGCAGATCCATATAGATCCGTGTAGATCCAGGTGGAGCGAGGTAAGCCCTGATATCCACAGGGTCACTTGAGGCAGATCGTGGAGACCCCAGCGGTAATTTCTCGAGAACAAACAGCATGCTGAAAAATGAGCCGCCCTCCACCGTCATAGCTCGTGGAAGATTTCAAGGCGAGTACGCGCGTCGCCAAGCCAATAACCCCTTTTTGAAAACCCGGCGCCCTCCTCCATCCGCGTAGCCGTCGTGAATTTTTCAGACGAATGTGGCAGCGCCAAGGTGATAATCACACTTTCAAAACCAGCCGCATTGATGCTTGTATCTGTCGGAGCCTCCTGGGCCGTCTTGGGACCATCGTGGGCGCCTTGGAGCACTCTTGGGCCGTCTCGGAGGCTCTTGTACCGTCTCGGGGCTTTTTGTGGAGGATTTTGGCATCAAAAGCGCGAATATTGAGTGCTTTACGAAGGTTTATGACTTCGGGGGGGGGGACGCGAAGACCGCGTAGTATACAAGGGATCGTGCTTTCGGGGGCGCAACCGTTGCATCCATCCCCAGGCCGAAAGTTTTTTTCTCTCGGACTAAAGAAACGAGGGATCTATATATGTCTTGCGCGGATCCAATTTCCCGTGTGAGAACCCATGGATCCAATTAGTTGCGGGAATGAACCTATAATGATAATTCACATCCCGAACTCAGGGGAAATCGGATCCGCGGGGCACCGCTCGCGAAGCATCATGCTATCCACGGAACTGTGGATCTGCTGACCAAAGCTATGATTCTACGGGGGAGGGGGGTCTACTGCGGGCCCGGCCAACTCCCGCATCTCCTCCCGTAACATATGGCACGCCCCGAGCAAGCGGAGAGCGCTACATTCATCCGCTCACCTGAACGGCGCGTCGTTTCCGACATTTCGGGCTCAAGAGGAAAATCTTTCGGCCTGCGTAAGTAATTTTGAGTAGTGTGTAAAGACGTATAGTTTCGTGAGCGCACACAGCGGAACGTGCGAACGTTGATGACTTCGGGGACGCGACCATCGCGTAATTTACGAGGGGGTCTGGCCTCGGGGGCGCGAGTGCGGTGTAATTTACGAGGGGTTCTGGCTTCGGGGGCGCGAACCTCACAAATGCTATGGCGAATCACCGCCGCCCCCGGCCTTTGGAGTCCTTCATGTGGCCGAGCGTTGTGGCAAGACCTCTGCCAAGCTATCGGACCATGTGTTCCCCACAACCGTTATGGAAACCTTTCAGGGAACACTTGGGGGAGGATGGCAGGGATGATCAGGAAGAGGAGGAGGAAGAGGAGGAGGAGGAGGACGAGGAGGAGAAAGAGGGAGGAGGAGGAGGACGAGGAGGAGGAGGAGGAAGAGGAGGAGGAGGAGGAGGAGGCGGAGGCGGAGGCGGAGGAGGAGGAAAAGGAAAAGGTTGGCATCTGGGGAGCGTCTGGAGGCACTCTTGGGGCCTCCTTGGAGCTTCGGGGCCTCTTGGAGGCATCTTCGGGGCCTCCTTGGGCCTCTTGGGGGCCTTTGGGGGCTTCTCGGGGTCCTCTTTGGCCGTCTTGGGGTATTCCTGGCTCGTCTGGTACCGTCGGCAGCCGTCTTGAGCGCCCCTCTCGGCCGACTCGGGGCTCTCTTGGGGTGCTCCAGGGCCGTGTTTGGAGTCTTCTTAAGGCCGTCTTGGGGGCCTCTCGGGCTGTTCCGGGGCCACCTTGCGGGCCCCTGGGGCGATCTTGGGGTGATCTTTGGGGGCTCTTCGGCCGTCTCGGGTCGTCGGATGTCAACAGCCAACAGCAAATGGCGGATTTTGGCCCCTTCGGGCCTTCCTGGCGCCCCTCTTGAGGTCTCTTGGGCCGTCTTCGGGGTCTCTTGGGGGCTTCTTGGGCCGTCTTGGGCCATCGTGGAGCCATCTTGGGCCGTCTTGGTGGACTCCTGGCCCGTCGGAAGCAGTCTTGGGGGCCTGTGGTCCGATTTGGGGCTTTCTTCTGTGGTACTGCAGGGTCGGTCTGGCGGCCATCTTGGTCGTCTTGGAGGCCTCTTGGGCCGTCTTGGGCCTCCTTGGGGCCGTCTTGGGGGCCTCTTGGCCCCCTCACGCCCCCCCTCGCTCGCCGCCGATCTACACATCCATGTTCTCCTCCTCCTCCTCCTCCTCCTCCTCCTCCTCCTGTCCTTGGCCACTGGCTCAGAGCTGTGGCTGGAAGAGCCAAGGAGCTGCGATCGCAGCCCTGCGCCTGCGGACTGGACCACCCGCGGGAACTGCGGAATACACCACGCGGCGTTCTGTCAGGGGCGGCCAAAGTTGGGGGGCGTCCAAGAGTGATGATGCTGCTGCTGCTGATGATGGTGATGATGATGCTGATGCTGATGCTGATGCTGATCATGATGATGCTGATGATGATGATGATGATGATGATGTTGCTGATGATGATGCTGCTGATGCTGATGGTGATGATGATGATGATGATGATGATGATGATGCTGATGATGATGATGATGATGATCATGATTAGGACAATGCTGACGGTTGTGCTGCTGCTGGCGACTGATGATGATGCTGATGATGATGATGATGCTGGTGATGATGATGATGATGCTGATGCTGATGGTGATGGTGATGATGCTGATGATGCTGATGCATATGATGATGAATATGATGAATATGCTGATGATATGATGATGATGCTAGTGCTGCTAGATGCTGATGAATATGATGAATATGATGATGATGATAATGGTGATGATGATGATGATGATGATGATGATGATGATGATGATGGTGGTGGTGGTGGTGGTGGTGGTGATGATGATGATGATGGTGGTGGTGATGATGATGATGATGATGATGATGATGGTGGTGGTGATGATGATGATGATGATGATGATGATCGTATCAGCACAGCTGCCATCCTTCGCTCCTGCGAGGCCGGCGCCCCCTCTGGCGGTGGCCGAGCACGCCCGCGCCCGCGCCCGCTCCGCTCGGCTCGAGGAGGGCGCGACCGCTCGGCTTCGCTCAGCGGCCCTTCCCCCGCCCGGCCCTCCCGCCTTCCCTGTGGGCGCCAGATGGAGCCTGGCGAGTACGAGGCCCCGGCGGCGAGGAAGCATTCGTTGGCTCAGGGGCCCTTACGGTAGGTTCGTGTCGTGTCGACCGGCGGCGACCCCGCCAGCGGCGTTCAGCGTTGAACGCCGCGGGCGACCCAGAATCGTTCGATGTGGAATGATTTGGTCGTTTCTGAAACTGCCGATCGTTCAAGGCTGAACGATCCCCGCGGTGTCATAAACCAACGCCGAAGTCCGCACGAGACGAACCTGACGTACATCCCCGCGTCGTGAGCCAAACATGACGGGAGGCCCCTCACGGGGTTTGGGGCCGTGCAGAAGCGGCTCAGGAAGAGAGGCTTGTCCCCAGGAAGGGGTCCAGACCTCTTTGGGGAGATTGCAGTCGAAGCCGACGGTGAGGATGGGCAACCTTCCCAGGGGCACCTTTGCATCCTTGCCTCTCTGGTCCATCCTTGACTACTTTCGATGGCCCGTCGCGTTCGACAAAGCTTCAACACGGGCGTCCAAAGTGCTTGCATCCTTATCGCGAATCCTTAGTGTTCACGCTTCGCGAATCCCCGTCAGCCCATTCAGAAGCCCTGCCCACGAGAGCTGACGGGAAATGACAAGCAGATGCGCATAAATATAGTGAAACAGAGCGGTCAAAGACGAGGGGGAGGAACGTATTGAGCCATGTTGAAGGTTGTCTTGGAGCATGGGAGGCCCTCTTGGAGCTATGGGGCTTTTTGGGGGCGTCTTGGGTTCCTCTTGGGGCTCCTTTGGGATATCTTGGGGCCCTCTTGGGGCTCTTTGCGGGGTATTGGGGCACTCTTGGGGGTCTTTTGGGGCGTCTTGGGGGCCTCTTGGGGCCATCATGGAAGCCATCGATCAAAGGGAGGGGTTCTATATGTAGCCCGCCGCCAAGAGTCATCGGAATCGCCACTTGAGCCCCTCTTGGGGCCCTCTTGGGGCGCTCTTGGGCGGTCTTGGGGCCGCCTTGGGGCCTCTTGGGCTCTTCTTGGAGCTCTCTTGGGCCATCTCAGGGCCATCCTGAGGCCTCAAAGAGCATCGGACGGGAAACGGCGAGAAGGCACAGGTCATCGATTTTCCTTCGGTTTTTGAAGGACTTTGGCTTCTCAGGGAGGTCCTGAAGGGTCTCAAAAAGCACCTGGATCCGTCTTGCGGCTCTTTTTAGGTTTCTTGGAGGAATGCTGTTAACTATCTGGGACCATGCTGGGCTATCCTGACGATCTTGGAGGTCATCTTGGGCTCTCTGAGTCCCTCTTGGAGCCATCTTGGGCCATCTTGGGCGCTCTGACACCTCCGTCCCCTCCCCGTCCAGGTCCAGGGGAACGAGTACGGGGAGGGGTCAATCTGCCCACCCGCCCGCAAGCCGTCTTGCTCACTCCCACCCGCCCTCCCAACACATAAGTAACACCCGAGCCTGAGCATGCTCAGCGGTCGTCTTTGGATGGGCAGCTACTTGAAACCAACGCCGACCCAAGGTGCGCGACGCTTGGGCGAGGTGCGCCACGCGTGCCAGGGGCGCTACGCGCGCCAGGCACCCCTGGGCCCCGAGCGTGCCAGGTGTGCCACACACTCTAGCCGCGCCAGGTGCGCCACGTTCGGGGCACGTGCAGAGTGCGTCAGGTGCGCCTGTGCACGTGACAGCACACATCGGGAAACATGTTGGCCCCCACCATCCTTGTCGAAAACCAATGCCCATCATTATGTCTGGTGGGCCTGCGCACAGCAGGCCCCTGCCACCACCCCCGCCGTCCCTGTCAAAAGCGGGGTGGCCGCGCATGATCCAGATTTAGTCGCGAGGTGCATTCTGTATTGTTTGATGTCAGGCATGGCAGCCCTGCGCGCAGCAGGGAATATGCTGACACCCCCGCCGTCCTTGCCAAAAACAATACAAAGTGCTGCGGGTGGCCTCACGAACATGACTCAAGACTTTGCCCAACAGTCTGTTTTGTATTTTTGGACAAGGATAGTGGGGAGGGTCGCCTCGGGTTGGCCTCGCATGCTCCAAATGTTGAGGCACAGTGCGTTTTACAGTATTTTTTGATCGGGATGGCGGGGGGGGTGGCCCGCATGGGGTCGGCATGGTTCCGGTTTGGCCGCCGGCTGGGTGGGGGAGGGGGTGTATGTTTATAGGGAACAGTGATGCACCCCTCCCCGAAGGGGAAGAGGGCTTTTGGAAGAGGGAAGAAAGATATCGTTAGACCGCCTGTCGCCCAGAGGGCTGGCGGAACTATTTGTTTTGACTGTACTTTGTCGAGTCACGAGTGGTTTGTGTGGTTGCCCGGTCACGAGTAACTGGTTGCGATTTGTCCCGTCAGGAGAAGTGGTTGCGAGTTGTCGGTGAGAAGAACATTTGAATTGTAAGTTGTGTGTTTGTCACAGTATGCTGGAATGAGAGACCTTGACAACTTGCGAACAGAAATCGCAACGTCGGATGTCTTGGAGGGAGTACGAGGCTCCGACGGCGAGAGAGCCTTCGTTGACTCTGGAACGGTTCTCTTGCCTCGGGATGCCTTTCAGCAGCTGCGCCTTGTCGAGAGCTTTCTGGGGATCCCGCCACCGTGCCAGCTGATTATTCTCGGTGGTAACTTTAACTGGTCGATTCGATGATGATAATGCTGCTGCTGCTGATGATGATGACGATGATGCTGATGACGATGATGATGCTGATAATGATAATAATATGGATGATGATGATGGTGCTGGTGATGATGTCGATGGTGATGATAATTGTTGCAGTTGATCATGATGATTTTGATAGCAATGCCTGTAATGATGATAGCGGTGGTGTTAGTGCTGCTGATGGTGTTGCTGTTGCTGATGATGACGATGCTGATGATGATGACGATGCTGCTGCTGCAGATGATGATGATGATGATGATGATGATGATGATGATGATGATGATGATTCAAATGTGGATGATAATGGTGATGATGCTTATGCTGATGATGAGGCTGCGGATGATGATGGTGATGTTGATGATGATGATGATGATGATGCAGATGACGATGACGATGACGAGGATGGTGGTGATGATGATGATGATGATGATGATGACGATGATGATGATGATGATGATCATGCTGAAGATGATGATGGTTATGCTGATGCTGTTGATGATGGTTACGATTCTGATGATGCTGACTATGATGATGATACTGATGATGATGATGATGATGATACTGATGATGATGATGATGATAATGAGACTTATGTTCTGATGATGCTGCTGATGATGCTGATTCAGATGATGATGATGATGATGATGATGATGATGATGATGATGATGCTGGTGATGCTGATGATGATGCTGATGATGACGATGCTGATGCTGATGCTGATGTTGATGCTGATGATGATGATGATGATGACGATGATGCTGACGCTGCTGATGATGCTGATGATGCTGCTGATGATGATGCTGATGACGATGATGATGATGATGCTGATGATGACGATGATGATGATGATGATGTTGATGGTGATGATGCTGATGCTGATGCTGCTGATGATGATGTTGATTTAGATGATGATGATGATGATGATGATGATGCTGATGATGATGATGATGATGATGATGCTGATGATGATGATGATGCTGCTGCTGATGATGCTGATGATGACGATGATGATGCTGATGCTGATGCTGATGTGGATGATACAGATGATACTGATGCTGATGCTGCTGATGATGAGGATGATGATGCTGATAATGATGCTGATGCTGATGCTGCTGCTGATGATGATGATGATGCTGATGCTGATGCTGATGCTGATGATGATGATGATGATGCTGATGATGATGCTGATGATGATGATGATGATGATGATGATGATGATGCTGATGATGCTGATGATGTTGATGATGATGATGATGATGCTGATGATGTGATGATGTTGATGATGATGATGATGATGATGATGATGATGATGATGATGATGATGATGATGATGATGATGAGGATGAGGATGAGGATGAGGATGATGATGATGATGATGATGATGATGATGATGATGATGATGATGATGATGATGATGCTGATGCTGCTGATGATGATGATGATGATGATGATGATGATGATGAGGAGGAGGAGGAGGAGGAGGAGGAGGAGGAGGAGGAGGAAGAGGAAGAGGAGAGCCGTCCTATGTGACACCTTTTGTCTTCACTTTTCGAAGAGCCCTTATGCACCTCACTTGGGCCGTCTTGGGGCTGGCCTAGACACCTGTGGGGCAGTCTTGGGTGTCCCTTTGGGCGCTCTTGGGTTGTGTTGGGTCTTTCTTAGGTCCTCCGTGGCCGTCTGGGGGGAGTCCCTTGGGGCCGTCGTTGTGCCATCTTGGGCGAGAACGCGAACATCCTTCACAAACCTAAGCGAGATCAATGATTTTGGCCTCTCAGGGCCTCTCTGGATGCTTTCTTGTATCCCTCTTGGCCGTCTTGGAGGCCCCTGGGGCCATCTCGAGGCCATCGTGGGGCCCTCCGAGGCCATCCTGCAGACATCTTGGGCCACCGTGGCTGCCTTGGTGGCCTGCTGGGGCCGTCTTGGACACCGTCCAGGCCATCTTGGACGCCTGGGAGAGCGCCAGGGGGGCGTGGAGCCGCCCAGGAAGTCTCGGGAGGGGGCGGACGCACGCGAATGGATGTGACGAGGACGGGGGAGGAGGCGGAGGAGGAGGAGGAGGAGGATGAGGAGGAGGAGGAGGGGGAGGAGGAGGGCATGAGGAGGAGGCGGAGGCGGAGGAGGAGGAGGAGGCGGAGGAGGAGGCGGAGGAGGAGGAGGAGAGGAGGAGGAGGAGGAGGAGAGGAGGGGAGGAGGGGGAGGAGGAGGGCATGAGGAGGAGGAGGAGGAGGAGGAGGAGGAGGAGGAGGAGGCGGAGGCGGAGGAGGGCATGAGGAGGAGGAGGCGGAGGAGGAGGAGGAGGAGGAGGAGGAGGAGGGGGAGGAGGGGGAGGAGGGGGCATGAGGAGGGAGGAGGAGGAGGAGGCGGAGGAGGAGGAGGAGGAGGAGGAGGAGGAGGAGGAGGAGGAGGAGGAGGAGGAGGGGGGTGTCCCTGAGAAGATGACCTAAACCCCAAGACACCGCATCTGGCACCTGACACTCTCTCACGCTTCAGCGTGTCAAGGGGGCCGAGGGGCTGACGACCCGAAGGCCACCAGGCGTCGAGGAGGGTGGGTGAGAGGCCTGGGCGTGTGTGGGGATCGTTGCCATTGCCAGGGAGTCCCCTGAATTTCGTGGCCCCCTTTCTCTTCTTTCACTGCGTTCCCGCGAATGGATATGATGAGGACGGGGGAGGAGGAGGGGGAGGAGGAGGAGGAGGAGGAGGAGGCGGAGGAGGAGGAAGTGGAGGAGGAGGAGGAGGATTTCCTGGCCCCCTCTCGTCCGCGCACATGCCGCGGGCGATGGAGCGCTAACCCCCTTCCTCCGGCCCCCCCCCCCTCCTCCTCGTCGGCACCTGGCCGCCACGGGCCAGAGGCGGCTCCGAGGGAGAAGGGGGCCCACTGGCCGACGCAGAGCGGCGTGACGTGCAGCCAACCTGCATAGGAAGGACAGTCGACTTCCTAAGGGTACCCTCTTGCATCCTTGCCTCTTCGGTCATCTTCGGCCCCTCCTCCACCACTTTCGATGCCCAGCCCCGCTCGAAGAGCCTCGGCATGGGCGTCTAAGGTCCTTGGAGGAGGACGAGTTGGACGGAGGGGGAGGAGGGAGGAGGGAGGGAGGGAGGAGGGAGGGAGCGAGGGAGGAAAGAAGGCAGGCAGAGAGGGAGGGAGGGAGGGGGAGGAGGATGGGGAGGAGGAGGGGGAGGAGGAGGAGGAGGAGGAGGAGGAGGAGGAGGAGGAGGAGGAGGAGGAGGAGGAGGAGGAGGGGATCTGGCAGCCACAAAGCCATGTGACATCTACGCGGAGGACCTCGAGGATACGCTCAATGGCCTCAGCGACAGAACGGAGGAGGCAGTCCTGCGAGCACGCCTCGATACCGTGCAAGCAGCGGAGGCCCGTGCGGCCTTCGAACGGCTCCCGAAGGAGGAGCAGCACGCCTTCAAGCAGGTCTCGGTCGTCGAGTTCGCGGCCTACGCGCACTACAGGCGCTATTTTGCCCGAGGCCGTGGCGCGGACGGAGACGAGCAGGCCGCCCAGGCCTGGAGCTCCCTGGACAGCGAGGAGATGGCGGAGTGGATTACCGAACGCCCAGACGAACTCGCCGCGGACCCGCGCCTGGCGCCGTACCTCCAGCGCGGCCGGCCCCGCAGGTGCAGACCGAGAAGAAGGGTCTCGTTCGTCAACGACATGGGAAAGGAGTACGACAGCTGCGACGACTTCGCCAAGCCCTACCAGAAGGTGCGCTTCCGACTCCCCGAGGAGGTGGATGACCACTTCGAGGCGGAGAGGCGTCTGGGATCGTGGGACGCAGAGTCCAATTCGTCCTGCGCGAGGATACCGCGCCCGATCCATAACTCCAAAGCAATGACCTCCTAAAACAGCGGCTTCCTCATCGCCATCGCCCCCCTCAGGGGTGAGCGTGCCGCCCTCCCATGGGGGGGGGGGTCTGGCGGCCCCCGAGGGGGGGCCAAGTTCGGGAATGACGAGTTCGGCGATCACCTGGACAGCGTCATCTGAGCGGAGGGGGAGGTGGAACCCCTCCGCGTCGAGCGGCTACGTCCTCTGACGGACGCAGAGGCGATACGGTCAGAAGGAGGAGGAGGAGCAGGAGGAGGATGAGCAGGAGGAAGAGGGAGGAGGGAGGAGGAGGATGAGGGAGGGGGAGCTGGAGGAAGGAGGAGGAGGAGGAGGAGGAGGAGGAGGAGGAGGAGGAGCAGAAGAGGAGGAGGGAGGAGGAGGAGGAGGAGGAGGAGGAGGAGGAGGAGGAGGAGGGGGAGGGGAGGGGGAGGGGGAGGGGGAGGGGAGGAGGAGGAGGATGAGGGGGAGGAGGAGGAGGAGGAGGAGGAGGAGGAGAGGAGGAGGAGGAGGTGGAGGAGGAGGAAGACGAGGAGGAAGAGGAGGAGGAGGAGGAGGAGGAGGAGGAGGAGAGGAGGAGGAGGAGAGAGGAGGAGGAGGAGGAGGAGGAGGAGGAGGAGGAGGAGGAGGAGGAGGAGGAGGAGGAGAAGGGTTGACTGTATGTAAGCCTTGCCGCTATCAAGGACGACCGACGGCGTGTCCCTGCGGCGGCACGCTGGGGCATAGGCCTCCCCCGCCGTCCTGGGACGGCCCCCCCCTTCCCGCGGCGGAGAGCGCCGGGTTGTCTTCGGGGCTCAAGAGCACGCGGGTCACATGCAAACGGGGGTCAGCCTGAGCGCCGGATCTTGTAGGATCCTGCAGAGCCAGGGTCGGGGGCCCCCAAACGGGGTGATGACCATGCCGTGTGGTGCGTCGGTGTGGATTCGGGGTCACCGCGCGGTTTTGGGACTCGAGGCCCTCTCCGAGGACGTTTCGGGCGACAGGGGCCTCTGGGGTCCCAAGACCGTGAGGTGACGGACCGTGCGGTGAGGTCTTGGGGGATTCCGAGTTCACCTCGCGGTCTGTCACCGCGCCGCTTCGGGAGTCCGAACAGGGGTTCATGGATCCGGGATTGCGTGCAGGCTCTTGCAGGGTCCTGCAGGATCCTGCAGGATTTTGCATGGTCTGACTGATCCGGGTCTGGATAGGCGCGATGCTTCGGCCGCTCAGTCCTGAGCCCCTGGTGCCTTCCCAGGGAGTTCCGTGGGCCGGCTGCAGGGCCCCAAGAGAGGCCGCGAGTCGGGACGATCGAAATGGGTTAAGAAGTAGTGGGGACGAAGACTGACAGCAGTTCTGTCCATGTGGAACATGACTCGCTGTCAGCGTCGCTGTGGACGTTGTCCACGTGAGACCGAAAGCCGCTTGTCCAACAGCGGCCGCTGTCGGTTTTGGCCCTTATTCTTTCTTGGGCAGCGTACCCGTTTTTCTGTACCCATGTCGGGCGTCCGAAGCGAGGCTTCGGGTAAACCCCGGTCCTCTGGACGCGGACGTCAGATCTGAGGGTCTGGCAGGTCAGGGTCACACGGTCGAGGTCCGAGGCTCCTGGGTCGACGGTCGAGCTCCTTGGGCGCTGCTAGCCCTGCTTGGTCCCCTGAAGGCCTCCCGAGGCTTGAGGGGACCTCCGGCCCAGGATGGAGAGGTGGGCCCTGGGCTGTGGTCGAGAGGTCCGGGGCCCGTGTCATGGACGCATCGGCCTCTCTTCAGGAGGGGAAAAACACAGACACAAGAAATCGTCGATTCCCGAAAATATGGAAACATATGGGAAGTGGGGGGAAAACAAAAACCCAGAGAATATTGGAACATAAGGGGAGTCCTGTTATTTGTGTCTATCTATTTGTGTGTCCCAGGACCCCTTCATCTCTGGACTGACAGCCCTGAGTCCGAAACGCTGGGTCGGATCTGGCTTCCGGCGCGCGGTCGATCCGATTCGATGATCATGCTGTCGGGGGCGGCCAAGAGGGGGGTGATGATTAGGGGGGTGAATATCATGGGGGGGTCATGATATCTCCCCAGATTTCGTGGCGTCCTTTTTATTTCACTACGTCCCTGGCCTCCCCCCTGGGCCGCGCACGCGCCGTCAGCCATGATTTGCGCCCCCCCTCTTGGACGCCCCCCTCTTGGCCGCCCCATGCTGATGCTGATGCTGATGATGATGCTGCTGCTGCTGATGATGATCATTTCCGATGCTGCACGTCGGATCTCAGGGGCCGCCCCACCCCGCGCCGCCACCCGCCCGCGGCGAGGCCCTGAGGGCCAGGGCCGCGGGAGGCGGGTCGGCCGCCGCCGAGCTGCTGCAGCTGATGAGGCCCGCAGCGCGCGCGCCGCGGCCGCCTCTCGGGGGCCTCTCGGCGGCCTTCGGTAACCACGCGTGTGCATACGCTCGCAGACACACGCGCAGGCACACGCACACACACACACATACACACACGCACACGCACACGCACACGCACACGCACACGCACACGCACACGCCCACGCCCACGCCCGCGCCCACGCCTACGCCCACGCCCACGCCCACGCCCACGCGCGCGCGCGCACGCGCACGCCCACGCCCACGCCCACGCGCACGCGCACGCGCATGCGCACGCGCACGCGCACGCGCACGCGCACGCGCACGCGCACGCGCACGTGCGCACACGCGCACACGCGCACACACGCACACACGCACACACGCACACACGCACACGCGCACAGGCGCACAGGCGCACACGCGCACACGCGGACATGTGCTCACGCGTAACACGAGCGCACTCGCACGCGCACGAGCACGCGGACACGGGCACGCACACGCGCACACGCGCACACGCACACGCGCATACACGCACACGCACACGCACACGCACACACACACATGCACACGCACACGCACACACACACACACGCACACGCACACACATACACACACACACGCACGCACACCCACGCACACGCACACGCACACGCCAAGGCACACACACACAACGCACAACACACACAGCATACAACACACAGCACACAGCACACAACACACAGCACACAACACACAACACACAACACACAACACACTCAACACCACACAACACACAACACACAACGCACAGCACACAACACAACACACAATGCACAGCACACAACACACCACAACACACAACATACAACACACAACACACAACACACGGCACACAACACACAACGCACACAAACACACAACACACACGCAGACACACGCGCACGCCGAACCAACGACACGGACACGCACACACGACTGACCACGCATCCGCGCGCACACGCTCGCACACGCTGTCTTCGAGGGCGCCTGGCCAGGGCAGCGGGAGGCTGCGGGCTGGGGCCGCGGCGGGAGCCGAGAGGGGGCAGCGCGCGCGCCCCGCCGGTCAGGGTCCGACCGCCCGCCCGACCAGCCTGCCGTGCGCGCGTGCCCATCATCATCATCATCATCATCATCATCATCATCATCATCATCATCATCATCATCATCATCATCATCATCATCATCATATCATCATCATCATCATCATCAGCAGCATCATCATCATCAGCATCATCATCATCACCATCATCATCATCACCATAATCATCATGACCACCATCATCATCATCATCATCATCATCATCAACATCATGAGTGTCCCACCTGGCCGACCTGTCCCTCCCGTCAGGTCCGCCCGCCCGACCCGGCCGTCCCGTTGGGGTCCGCCCGCCCGGTCAGACCCGCACGCCAGGCGCGCGTGGCCACTCGATGATGAATCGCACTTGGGTGTCTCGCAAGCCATGAGGAAAATCCTGGAGGCCTCGCGCGGCAGCTTGGGACCGAGTCTACATCGGATCCACGTCGGGCTTACTCCCGCTTCAAGCCGGGATCACGCTGCAATTACGTCGGATTTACGTCGAGACATCACCGCGCGAACGTCGTTCCATATTGCGGGGTGGGCGTGTGGACTATGTGATATAACCCCAGACATTCAATTTAATTTTGGATTTTATTATCATTATATATATATATATATATATATATATATATATAGGTCTTGATTTTTTAATTTATTTATTTATTTATGTATTTACTTAGTTCCCAACCATCCTGTGGTGTTGGGTCTTCGTTTTTAAGAGACAGTGCCCCGCGTTCCCGCCTCCTCCTCCTCCTCCTCCTCCTCCTCCTCCTCCTCCTCCTCCACACCCTCTTCCTTGCGTTTCACCCACCCAGTACAGTGTTTCGTAGCTCCATAGGGAGCTCCGCCGAAGGCCCCAGTGCTGCCGCCCGCATGCGTCACCCACACCCAATTCGGCACACCCCTCACACGTTTCGTGGCCCCATAGGAGCACCGAAGGCCCAGTGCTGCCGCCCGCATGCGTCACCCACACCCAATTCGGCACACCCCTTTCGTGGCCCCATAGGCCGAGGCTGCTGCCGCCCGAAGGCCCCACTGCTGCCGCCCGCATGCGTCACGTTTCGTGGCCCCATAGGAGCAAGGCCCCAGTGCTGCCGCCCGCATGCACGGCTTCACACGTTTCGTGGCCCCATAGGAGCTCCGCCGAAGGCCCCAGTGCTGCCGCCCGCATGCGTCACCCACACCCAATTCGGCACACCCCTCACACGTTTCGTGGCCCCATAGGAGCTCCGCCGAAGGCCCCAGTGCTGCCGCCCGCATGCGTCACCCACACCCAATTCGGCACACCCCTCACACGTTTCGTGGCCCCATAGGAGCTCCGCCGAGGCCCCATGCGTCGTTCCACACCCCTCACACGTTTCGTGGCCCCATAGGAGCTCCGCCGAAGGCCCCAATGCGTCACGCACACCCAATTCGGCACACCCCTCACACGTTTCGTGGCCCCATAGGACAGTGCTGCCGCCCGCATGCGTCACCCACACCCAAGTCGGCACACCCCTCACACGTTTCGTGGCCCCATAGGAGCTCCGCCGAAGGTCCCAGTGCTGCCGCCCGCATGCGTCACCCACACCCAATTCGGCACACCCCTCACACGTTTCGTGGCCCCATAGGGAGCTCCGCCGAAGGCCCTAGTGCTGCCGCCCGCATGCGTCACGCACACCCAATTCGGCACACCCCTCACACGTTCCGTGGCCCCATAGGGAGCTCCACCGAAAGCCCCAGCGGCCGCGCTCACACGCGTCCCCGCCACCCATCCCGGCACGCCCCTCACAACAACAGGTTTCGTGGCCCCATAGGGAGCTCCACCGAAGGCCCCAGTGGCACCGCCCGCATGCGTCACCACCCGCACCCAATTCGGCACACCCTCACACGTTTCGTGGCCCCATAGGGAGCTGCACCGAAGGCCCCAGTGGCGGCGCCCACATGCGTCCCCGCCACACATCCCAGTACACCCCTCACGCGCTTCGTGGCCCCATAGGGAGCTCCACCGAAGGCCCCAGTAGCGGCGCTTACATGCGTCTCCGCCACCCATCCCGGCACCCCCCCCGCAGCAGCATCATGTTTCGGGGACCCAAAGGGAGCTCCACTGGAGGCCCCAGCGGCGGCCCTCACATGCGTTTCCGCCACCCATGTCGGCACGCCCCGCGCGTGTTTCATGTCCCCATAGGGAGCTTCACCGAATGCCCCAGTGGCACCCATCTCGGCACACCCCTCACACGTTCCGTGGTCCTATGGGGAGTTCCAGTGAAGATGAAACCCGCAGCTGCGGTACTGACAACTGCATATGGTTGGGTTCTTCGTCAGGCTAATTATTTATTTAGTTATTTATTTATTTATTTATTTATTTCGTTACGCGGTGCCCAATGTCCCGCTCCTTTCCCGGGCCGGTTGTTCATCCCGGGTAGTTTTCGATGGTTCTGGGGCCCTGCGAGGGCCTTCGAAGGCCGAAAGCAGAAACAAAAACATATTTATCCCAACCCTCCTGCGTTGGGTTCTCGTTTTGAATACAGCACCGTGGTCGCATCCTCCCGCCTCCCGCTCCCCTTCTCTCCTGCCTCTCACCTCGTTCCTTCCTGCGTGCTAGCTTGCCTCCTACCTGGCCATCCCTGGGGGGCTGCGACCTGCGAAGTTGTCGCCATTTTCGAGGGGTGCTGGGTGGTCCAGCGAGTGACGTCCTACGCAGATTCATATTCGACCTCGTCATCCCTGGGGGGTTGCGATCTACGAAATGATCGCCACTTTCGAGTGCTGCTGGGGGGTCCAGCTCAGTGACGTCCTGCGCATCTTCAGATTCGACCTCGTCATCCCTGGGGGGCCGCGATTGGTGAGACAGTCGCCACTTTCGAGGACTGTTGGGGGTCCAGCGAGTGACGTCCTACGCAGATTCAAATTCGACCTCGTCATCCCTAGGGGGCTGCGATTTGCGAAACTGTCGCCATTTTCGAGAGGTGCTGGGCTGTCCAGCTCAGTGACGTCCTACGCAGATTCAGATAAGACCTCGTCATACCTGGGGGGCTGCGATCGGTGAGACTGTCGCCATTTCCGGGGGCTGCTGGGGGGTCCAGCGGAGTGACGTCTTACTTAGCTTCAAATTGGAACTCGCCATCCCTAGGGGGCTGCGATTTGCGAAACTGTCGCCATTTTCGAGGGCTGTTGGGGGGTCCAGCGGAGTGACGTCCCACGCGTATTCAAATTCGACCTCGCCATCCCTGGGGGGGCTGCGATCTGCGAACTGTCGTCACGTTCGAGGGTTTCTGGGGTGTCCAGCGGAGCGATGCACCACCCAGATTCAGATTTGACCTCGCCATCCCTGGGGGGCTGCGCTCTGCGAAACTATCGCCACTTTCGAGGGCTGCTGGGGGGTTCCAGCTCAGTGACGTCCTGCGCATATTCAGATTCGACCTCGTCGTGCCTGGGGGGCTGCGATCGGTGAGACAGTCGCCACTTTCGAGGACTGTTGGGGGTCCAGCGAGTGACGTCCTACGCAGATTCAAATTCGACCTCGTCATCCCTAGGGGGCTGCGATTTGCGAAACTGTCGCCATTTTCGAGAGGTGCTGGGCTGTCCAGCTCAGTGACGTCCTACGCAGATTCAGATAAGACCTCGCCATCCCTGGGGGGCTGCGATCGGTGAGACTGTCGCCATTTCCGGGGGCTGCTGGGGGGTCCAGCGGAGTGACGTCTTACTTAGCTTCAAATTGGAACTCGCCATCCCTAGGGGGCTGCGATTTGCGAAACTGTCGCCATTTTCGAGGGCTGTTGGGGGGTCCAGCGGAGTGACGTCCCACGCGTATTCGAATTCGACCTCGCCATCTTTGGGGGGGCTGCGATCTGCGAACTGTCGTCACGTTCGAGGGTTTCTGGGGTGTCCAGCGGAGCGATGCACCACCCAGATTCAGATTTGACCTCGCCATCCCTGGGGGGCTGCGCTCTGCGAAACTATCGCCACTTTCGAGGGCTGCTGGGGGGTTCCAGCTCAGTGACGTCCTGCGCATATTCAGATTCGACCTCGTCGTGCCTGGGGGGCTGCGATCGGTGAGACGGTCGCCACTTTCGAGGGCTGCTGGGGGGTCCCGCGGGGCGTTGTCGCGGGCCGCCCGCAGACCTGGCGGCGCGCCTTCGAGCGTTTAGCTCCCGCATTGAACAGTGCAAGAAAAAGCAGGGACGCTGTCGGGCGAGGTAGCCTTCGCTCGCTGCTTTGCACTAAGTATAAGCAGGTGTAATCATTTTCTCGAGCGCCGCGGCGTCCTGGCGCAGGCAGCGCTGCATCTTTAGCATAATACCGACAAACGCAGCACTCGTCGGTCCCTTCCCGTCATTTTCGTCGTCGCCCTCTGCCTCCTGTCACCTTCCCTCTGCTGCTGCCGCGCTGACGGTTCGGCCCCCACGCGTTGTTCTCTTGCCTTTCGTTCCCGCCCCCATGTCCTGCTCAAGCCTGGGGCCTCGTTTCTTGTCATTTTATTGTTGTCCTGTGAGTCGTGTTACGTGAGCGCCCCCCGTGGAGATTGCAGAACATATATCGGCGCCTGCACTGTCATTGTCCTGGCAACTTTGGGCAACTTCCTCATGTCATGTGGTGCGAATGGGTTTGGTACGTCGCAGGGTAATGGTGTGTGTCACGTCGCGAGCGTGTCTAGGTCATCCTCTTCCTCCTCTTCCATCCCTCTTCATTATGAATCCTCCCTGTCGTACCCCCAGACGTGTCGGCAAGGCAGGTTGGGCATTTCGCCCCAGATTTCTTCACCATGTATGGTTCTGAAGCATGAAATTTGAAGCCGCTTCGCCGATGGAGGGAGGGCTATTTCGCAATATGGTTTTCGCTTTAGCGCCGCGCAGATTCTTCTGACATTGTGGCAGCGGTTTTACAGATGGTTGTGGCGGGGCTTTCAGAATGTTGTTCTCGCCGTAGCGCCGCGCCCGTTCTCTCTACAAGTTTGCAACAGTCGCGAAGGATGGAGCCCAGGTCGTTTTCAACATGTCGTTCTTGTCTTAACGCCACGTGCATGCATTTGTTTATAGACAGTTGCATCTTCAGGGTTCGAGGGCGACCCCTTTTCAACGATGGTTCTCGTCTTAGCGCCGCGCACGTCTGAACCACATGCAACAGTTTCACGGATGGAAAGGGAAGTCGTTGTCAAAATCTGGTTGTCGCCTTAGCGCCGCGAGCTTTCGATTTACAATTGTTGCAATTGTTTCAGGGGTGGTAGGGGTGTCGTGTTCAAGGCCGTGCTCTCGCCTTAGCGCCGCGCGCGTTCGTCTTAGAAGTTCGCATTCGCATCATAGATGGAGGGCGGTTCCTTTAGGAAGTGGGCCTCGCGCTTCAGCGCCGCGAGCATTCTTTCAACACCTGGCAACATTTTCAAGGATTGAGCATTGGCCGTTTTCAAAGTGGAGCTCTCGCCTGAGCGCGGCGCGCATTTGTTTAGCAGGGTGGAGGATCGCTCGAGGCTTTGGCTCGTTTCGAAGACGCGAGCGAACTTCAACGCAGCGCTGCGCGGATCCAGGGCGGCTCTTTTGCAGCATGGAGCTGTCGCTCGAGAGCTCTTCGATGCTCGTGACCACAAGTGTGTCAAACTTGTGCAACGGTTGCACGGATGTGGGGGGGCTGTCTTTTTTCGGGATGGGATCCTCTTGGGCTCTGCCGTGAACTATATGATGCAGTTTCCATTGTTGCTGAGTGCAGCTGGACCGAGGTATCAGATCGAGGTCGGTTCGGGGAGGGTGCCCTCGTGCTCTTCGTGTTTGTTCTTGGGCATCCTGGGGAGTGTACCCCTGGATGCTCCCTCTGTTTTGGCCGACGGAGGGTCTTATGCTCCCGAGGGATGCTCTTCAGGCCTCGGTCCGACTGTACGCTTGCGGAGGACGATGAATGGAGAGGAAGCATGTTGCCAAATAATTTCCAGATGTCAATAACATGTGTTAAACATGTATTAAACATGTATCAAATATGGTTTTAACATTTTCAGGACATTGTTCCGATAGTTTAAACACATTTTTGATTCGATAATCGGACTGTTAGGGCGTCAATTGTCGTGGCATCCACAACTGTACGCGCCAGAGAGCTGCAGAGCAATTCCTTTTCCAGAGCGGCGCCCTCGCTGGAAGGGCAGTCCCGGCTGAGCTGGTCTTCCGAGGGGGGCGCTGCAGTGTGCAGGGAGAAACTCTGGACGGGAGGGTGTATTGCAGGATCGCTGATGCATCTTTGGCTTATTCTGGTCCTCCTCGTCCTCCTCCTCCTCCTCCTCGTCCTCCTCATCTTCCTCCTCTTCCTCCCTTGAATTCCGACGTTGCGAAAAAATGCAGCATCGAGAAAACTGCGACCGGAGCCCCAGTCCCTATCCGTCCGGGGCTTTTCTCGAGCCGGATCGACCTGCGAGGCTCCCAGGGCCAGGAACGAGGCAGAAACGCTCAGCGCGTACTAGCATGCAACGCCCAGGTCTGAGGTTCCTCCTCCTTCTTTGTTGCCCCTCTTGCTCTCCTTCCTCCTGCCCGCGCCCGAGGACGCAGAAGATCCGCCAGCCCGAGGTGGTGCTGCTGCACGGCTCCGAGCTGCTCTCGCGGGGCTGCTGGACCGCGCGCCTCTGCTTCCGGGCGGCTGCCGCGCGGGAGCACCGACGCGCGTCTTGTTCTCTGGGGAGGGAAAGAAACACACAGAAAATATGGGAAAATATGGGAAGTGGCGGGGAAGACAGAAACCCAGAAAATATGGGAAAATATGGGGAATATCTTTATTTGTGTGTATGTATTTGTGTGTCCTGGGGCCCCTTCAAAGACGCCGAGATGAAGACCGCTTTGGGCTCACGAGGGGCTAGCGTTTTCGGGCCGTTCCTCAGATGCATGTCGTCGACCCTGCTTGTGGCACAGGCCCGCCCTTGCCAGGAGAGCCCCTTCGTTCCCTGCTACGCGTTCTTCTTGGTGGCGCGATGACCGTGGCTCTTGCTGGGATGCTGCCAGGAGTGCCCCCGGACCAAGCTGCCCCCGGGATTTCCAAGGAGCCCCCCACCGCCTCCAGAGCACCCCTCACGAGGCCAAGAGGGCCCCGGGGGCTCCAGAGTTGATTGCGAAAAGCTGGGAGCACCTTGGGCCAGGGGCTCCTTCAGCAGCCCCCGAAATTTGCTGAGGAGGAAGACCTGGCGCTGATCGGAGGAGGGAAAGGTACGGACACCGCTACCCTTCGCCTCGTTTCCGCCCTCCTGGGCCTCTCGGGCGGGACGAAGGGGCAGGATAGGGAAACAAGGGTGAGCAACTGGTGCCGGCCCCGCCGCCGGGCCCATTCCTCGGTACCTGGGCGCTTCCTGGCGCCAGGAGAACCCCCAGGTGGGTGTAAGCCTCGGAGGCGACGATAGGGGCGAGTAGCTCAGGGGAGAGCAATACACGTATGCAGGTGCGCCGATGATCTGTGTCTTCGAAAAGGCTCCCGGGCGAATGCGTGTCATGCCCGCCCCTGGGCCATCCGCCCCTATCGTCGCCGCCAAAAACCGCACGCGCGGGCTCCTCCTTGTCATGTGTGGGACACTAGAAAGCGCCAGGGAAACCCGCTGCGTGAGCTGGTTTTCTACCCTAGCCTTTTCTATCCTATCCTTTCGCCCCCCCGAGAGAAAGTACGCATACCGCCAGCCTTGCCTCGTGTCCGCACTCCTGGGCCTCCTGGGGGGCCCTCGTCGCCACCGCTGGATTCGCTTCGACACTCTGTTCAGACCGAGGAGAGGTCTGGGGAGCAGCGGTGTCGGTCTCTTTTGATCTCCCCAGCGGAGGCGTCCCAGAAGGAGCCTTGCCTGGCCTGCGACGCTCGAAGGAGTTGACGTCTTCTTCCCTGCGGAAGGCGGCGGCACTGCTGGCGGAAGGCGGCAGAAGTATAGCGAGGGCGCCTCCGCCGGCGGAAGCCACCGGAAGTAGAAGTAAGCCTCGGCGGGTCAGAGGACCCGTTTGCCTCCGAAGGGGAGGGGGGGTCGCAGTTCCCTCCCCCGTGGCTGCGCCCCACGCGCTCGCTCCGCCATGCTCGCCATGAGAGATGCCCATGATCTGGCGGGGCGCTGCTGGTCGCTTCGACGCCAGCGAGGTGAGCGTTCGGAGGCTGCCCGACCTCCGAGGACAGCAACCAAGACAGCGCGCACGTGTCCTGCCAGCTGGAAGAAAGGCTGATGGGTAGCAGACGGGCTTGGAGACGAGCGGTGCGGCTAGCGGAGGTGACAGGCAGCAGCTGGTATCGAGGCCGCTTGCTGACGCGCCCCATGGTTGCCTGCATTGTCGAGCATGACGCGGCGACCTTCCCGCAGGTGACCAGCGTTTCCTCGCACGCACTGAGATCACCCAGACCACGCAAATCGAGCACACATCACGGGGACTCACAGCAGCAGCAGCAGCAGCAGCAGCAGCAGCAGCAGCAGCAGCAGCAGCAGCAGCAGCAGCAGCGACGGAAGTGGCGGCGAGTCGGCCGCGAGCTCCCTCGCGCGCGTTCGCAGGAAGCTCGGCAATGACTTGTGGGCGATTCTCGAGCAGGCCCCCGCCGCCTGGCCGCGGGGCCGAGTGAGGGGCGAGGACGACGTCGCGTGGAGGTACGGTCGGACCGAGGCGTAAGGGGAGGGTGCCCTAATGTTCTGGAGCGTTCTTGAACGTTTTGGCCACTCCCGAGGGCCGAAGCACGTCTCCTCAGGGTAAAGCGGCGCCGCCTGGACTGGGAGCTGGTGCCCCTGGACCATGTGACCATGCACCACCCAAGCGGGAGGCACCTCTCGGACGACGGGATCTACCGTCGAGCCGAGGTATAGGATCGAGGTCGGTTCGGGGAGTGTGCCCTGACTATTCTTCGTGCTTGCTGGACGCTGGTGTGCATCGTGGGCGAAGGTGCCCTCCAGTGTTCTTCCGTTTGGCCCGCGGAGGGCCTCATGTGCTTGTTCTTGAAGGATGTTCGTTTGCCTTAGGCCTGGCCGTGTGCTTGGACCCCCCGCGCGGGCCTCAGGGACGAGCCGGGGACGCGGCGAGGACACCAGAGGACGCCGCAGCGGGAGCTCCCCTCAGGTCTTGGTGCCTCAACTTTTTCGTGCCGGGCGCTCTCGCCTGGTTTCGGGTCCTGGGCCCTCACAGATCGGTCCGGCTCGAGCAGTTGCGCAGCAGGATGAGGTCCAGGGCCCTGGCCGTGATTTTTCACGATGTTGCAAGGGCTCCCACGAGGGCGCGAAGTTATTCGCGCTTCGCGCTTCGCGGTCCTCGTTCCTTCTCCCCCTCCTCCTCGTCCTCCTTTTCTCCCTTTGGGGGGGCGGCGCGAGGGCGCGAAGTTATTCGCGCTTCGCGCTTCGCGGAGCGCGAAGCGCGAAGTTGGGAGCCCTAGATGTTGTTTTGTTTCGCTATGTCGGGTCTCAGGGCTCAGGGACCTCCGAAGGCTCGAGGTCCCTCGAGCCCTCCAGTTCCCAGGGTGAGGAGGACACGGTCAGAGCCCCGAATCATCAGGGGTAACTCGGGTCAGGGATAACTCGGGTTCGTTTTTCGGGAATCCAAACCCGAGTTACCCCGGACCCGAGTTACCCCGGATATTTCGGGCGTCCAGAGCCCCGAATCATCAGGGATAACTCGGGTCAGGGTTTACTCCCGGTCCCGAGTTACCCCGGATAACTCGGGCGTCCAAACGGGGGATCGGACGGGGGTCTGTCCACCGTGCCGGCGGAGGGCGGCGGGGGAGGCGGAGGAGGCGGAGGTCGGTCGGTCGTGACTGGTGCCGTGGGGTGCGGATTCTGTCAGGTTCTGCGGGCCTGACCTCCGAAGCTGTGGAGACGCGCAGAGTGGCGGCGAGAAAGACCGCCCCTGCCCCCAGGCCTGTCCTGGCCGACCAGGCTTGAACTTCAGAACTGTAGCTGATGCTGCGCAGTCCAGCTGCCTCTTCCCCATGCCGCTTCTTTCGCGTGTCGGCGAGTGCCCAGCCGTGGCGACGAGGAGCGACGAGTGGGGGATGGGCCCCCCAGGTGTTGGCAGCATAGCCCTCTGCAGCGGCCTGCTGAGCTCCCTGGCGCACGCCGCCGCCTGCTGCATCCCATGGAACAATTTGCCACTTTGCACGAGCTGATCCCAGCGTTGTAGCTGATGGCGTTGTGCACGTGGGCTTCCTTCTGCACGATCCCGCTGCCACTGCGTGCTCTTCTCGTATCGCCCAATTCGCACAAACTGAAACAGCATTGTAGCTGAGGATGGGTTCTGTCTGCGCCGGCAGGCACCGACACTCGTTGCTGCCACCCAGTGCGTGCCTTCTCGCACCGACCGACACTGCTGCTATCCCCTGCCTTCTCGCAGTCCCAGTCCCTGCTGCCACTGCTCTCTCGCACGAGCTGGCGGCCGCCAGTCTTTGTAGCTGACGAGGGGGTCTTCCCTTGCCATTTGGCTTCGGCGACCGCTGCTGCCACTGCCCGCCTTCCCGCGCCGATCGGCTCTGCTGCCAGTGTTTGCCGTCTCGCACGAGCTGAATTTCGCTACAATGTAGCCGAAGATGTCCCACGCTGCTGTTTGGCACCGACCGCCGCTGCTGCTGGTGCCTGCCTTCTCGCACCGACATACCCTGCTGCCAAAGCGTGCCGTCTCGCACGAGCTGCCCCCCGCTGCAATGCAGCTGGAGATGTTGCTCTAGCGTGACCAATTGGAACCATCAATCGCTGCTGTCATTGCCTGCCTTCTCGCGCCGATTGCAGCTGTTGATGTGCTGCACCGGCTTACTCGTACTTGCATGCTTTGGCAGCGGCGCCGCAGCTGGCGCTACTGTTCCCCACGAGGTGGAGGAGGGGTGGGGGAAGGGAGAATCGAGGAGAGGGCGGAGTGAACCATATCTCCTGGCGGGTGAGCACGCGACTGATCACAGCATTGTGTTTGATGACGTGGGGCGCCACGCTTCTTGATGTCAGCTCTCGCGAGCATGGCCATTTCGAAGTTTGCAGGTGAAACGCCCCTTGCGCGTGGTTGAGGTGGAGGCATAGGCGTAGGAGGAAGATGATGATGATGATGATGCTGATGATGATGCTGATGATGATGCTGGTGACGATGATGATGCTGCTGCTGCCGCTGCTGCTGATGATGATGATGGTGATGATGATGATGCTGATGATGACGATGATGATGATGATGATGAAAAAAATGATGATGATGATGATGATGATGATGATGATGATGATGATGATGATGATGATGATGATGATGATGATGATGATGATGATGATGATGATGATGATGATGATGATGATGATGATGATGATGATGATGATGATGATGATGATGATGATGATGATGATGATGATGATGATGATGATGATGATGATGATGATGATGATGATGATGATGATGATGATGATGATGATGATGATGATGATGATGAGATGAGGAGGAGGAGGAGGAGGAGGAGGAGGAGGAGGAGGAGGAGGAGGAGGAGGGAGAGCGAAGACGAGGAGGAGGCGGAGGAGGAGGAGGAGGAGGATGAGGAGGAAGAGAAGAGGAGAGGAGAGGAGGAGGAGGAGGAGGAGGAGGAGGAGGAGGAGGAGGAGCAGGAGGAGGAGGATCAGGAGGAGGAGGAGCAGGAGGAGGAGACGGAGGAGGAGGAGGAGGAGGAGAAGGAGGAGGAGGAGGAGGAGGAGGAGGAGGAGGAGGAGGAAGAGGAAGAGGAAACCGAAACGGAGGGCGACGGAGGAAGCGGACGATGCGGAGGAGGCGGAGGGCGACGGAAGTGGCGGAGCAGGCGGAGGTGGAGGCGGAGGGCGACGGAGGAGATTGAGGAGGAGGAGGCGGAGGAGGAGGAGGAGGAGGAGGAGGAGGCGACGGCGGCGGCGGCGGCGGCGTCGGAGGCGGAGGACGAGGCGGAGGGCGACGGAAGGGGCGTCCGGAGGTCCTGGAGGAGGTGGAGGCGTCGGGAGGTCCTGGGGGAGGTGCCGCCGCTCGAGCTGAGTGGGCGTCTGGGGGCCGAGGGGCACGGGCCTTGAGCCCAAATATTGTCTCCTCGGGGCCCCGGGGGCCTCTCTCGGAGACCTCCAGGGTCAGTATCGTTTATCCGACCCCTTCCCCATCCTCGTCCCCTTCGAGACCCCCACCAGATTACCGACCCCAGTCGGAGACACACCCCTCGAAACCCGAAGGGAGCGGCCTATATCCCCACCTAGGGTGGTAAATCGGCCAGTGGGGCCCAGGCCACGCCGCTGGGGATGGGGATCGGTTCAAAGATGCTCATAGGGAGCGGGCTGGGCGGGGTTCGGCGGAGGAGCCAGTTGCAGGCGCGCGGGGGAAACAGCCGAGTCAGAAAAGCTTCGCACGTAAAGAACATTCGCAGGCGATTTCTCGCCCCCAGACACCGATGTTCCTTGGAAAAACCGAGCCGCCTAGAAAAGGAGGAAAGCTCGGGGACACGCCCCAGGGGGGCTTATCGGACGCAGCCCAGGGGACGTGTCCCCGCACTGCTACGGTCCCTCGCCTTGCGTTCCCCCCCCCCTTTTGGGCCTCCTGGGAGGCCCTCGTCGCCACGGCCGGATTCCCTTCAAACGTCTGGGCAGAGACACCTTCGGGGAGGTCCGGGGAGTAGCGGCATGGGTGCCTGTTGGATCTCCCGGGGGGGGGGGGGGAGGCCGGCGGAGGGGCCAGGGATCCGGCGGCGGGTCCCGCCCTCGTGCATGGAGGATCTCGGGGCGGAGGCTCGAGGAGGCATCGAGGAGGCATCGAGGAGGCATCGAGGAGGCATCGAGGAGGCTCGAGGAGGCATCGAGGCGGCATCGAGGAGGCATCGAGGAGGCATCGAGGAGGCATCGGCGAGGCATCGAGGAGGCTCGAGGAGGCCGAGGCTCGGGGAGGTTCGAGGAGGTGAGGCTCGAGGAGGCCGAGGTGTCCCAGGTCGCCCGCAGGGGCGCGGAGGCGGTCGCGCTTCGCGGGTCGCGGCCGGGGCCTCCGAGGCGGCCGTCTCCCAAGGGGGTGGCGCGGGGGAGCGGGGGGCATCGTGCGTCGCGGGGCGCGCGGCGCGATGTGCGGAGTTAGGTGACCTACAACCCTCGTCAAAATTAACCTCAAAAATGTCTGACGTGGTTGAACTGCTTGTCGGAAGATCTGGGGCCGAGTATCGATGAGTGCGGGGTACTTGCATGCGCCGCCCCTCCAATGTCGGTCGACGTCAAACTTTCGAGTCAACTTCGGTCAGCTTGTCTTTGTCCTCGCCCCGGCATTGACGGGGCGGCGTGTCGACATTGAGGGGCGCGCCGACATCGACATGACGTGCCAGCAATTGTTGAGGTTAATTTTGACGAGGGTAGTATGATATTGCTTTCGCTTCATGGGCTACGGTAGGTTCGCGTCGCGTCGACTGGCGGCGACCTCGGAGCGGGAGTACAGCGTTGAACGCCGCCGGGGGCCCAAGATCGGTCGACGTTGGAGGATCGGACGTTTCGGAAACGACCGATCGTTCAAGGTTGAACGATCCCCGTGGTGTCGGGAAACAACGCCGAAGTCGGCACGACACGAACTTGCCGTACTCATCTCTGGCCTCGGATATT